TGGGAAAGAAAACTCACCAGTCCAGGTTCCTGATGTCAGTTTGTAGGGCTCCCCTGGGACTCTCAGGGCAGCACAAGTATGAGGTGGGGGCAGCTCCTGTCTGGGACTTATCCTTCGATGTTCAGATTTTTTGCAGTCAGCTGCCCGCTCAAGGCCACAGGACTCGGAGCGCAAACATCGGCTCTTTTCCCTGGGAAAGAAAACTCACCAGTCCAGGTTCCTGATGTCAGTTTGTAGGGCTCCCCTGGGACTCTCAGGGCAGCACAAGTATGAGGTGGGGGCAGCTCCTGTCTGGGACTTATCCTTCGATGTTCCGATTTTTTGCAGTCAGCTGCCCGCTCAGGGCCACAGGACTCGGAGCGCAAACATCGGCTCTTTTCCCTGGGAAAGAAAACTCACCAGTCCAGGTTCCTGATGTCAGTTTGTAGGGCTCCCCTGGGACTCTCAGGGCAGCACAAGTATGAGGTGGGGGCAGCTCCTGTCTGGGACTTATCCTTCGATGTTCGGATTTTTTGCAGTCAGCTGCCCGCTCAGGGCCACAGGACTCGGAGCGCAAACATCGGCTCTTTTCCCTGGGAAAGAAAACTCACCAGTCCAGGTTCCTGATGTCAGTTTGTAGGGCTCCCGTGGGACTCTCAGGGCAGCACAAGTATGAGGTGGGGGCAGCTCCTGTCTGGGACTTATCCTTCGATGTTCCGATTTTTTGCACTCAGCTGCCCGCTCAGGGCCACAGGACTCGGAGTGCAAACATCGGCTCTTTTCCCTGGGAAAGAAAACTCACCAGTCCAGGTTCCTGATGTCAGTTTGTAGGGCTCTTTTTGGACTCTCAGGGCAGCACAAGTATGAGGTGGGGGCAGCTCCTGTCTGGGACTTATCCTTCGATGTTCCGATTTTTTGCAGTCAGCTGCCTGCTCAGGGCCACAGGACTCGGGGCGCAAACATCGGCTCTTTTCCCTGGGAAAAAAAACTCACCAGTCCAGGTTCCTGATGTCAGTTTGTAGGGCTCTTTTTGGACTGTCAGGGCAGCACAAGTATGAGGTGGGGGCAGCTCCTGTCTGGGACTTATCCTTCGATGTTCGGATTTTTTGCAGTCAGCTGCCCGCTCAGGGCCACAGGACTCGGAGCGCAAACATCGGCTCTTTTCCCTGGGAAAGAAAACTCACCAGTCCAGGTTCCTGATGTCAGTTTGTAGGGCTCTTTTTGGACTCTCAGGGCAGCACAAGTATGAGGTGGGGGCAGCTCCTGTCTGGGACTTATCCTTCGATGTTCCGATTTTTTGCACTCAGCTGCCCGCTCAGGGCCACAGGACTCGGAGCGCAAACATCGGCTCTTTTCCCTGGGAAAGAAAACTCACCAGTCCAGGTTCCTGATGTCAGTTTGTAGGGCTCTTTTTGGACTCTCAGGGCAGCACAAGTATGAGGTGGGGGCAGCTCCTGTCTGGGACTTATCCTTCGATGTTCGGATTTTTTACAGTCAGCTGCCCGCTCAGGGCCACAGGACTCGGGGCGCAAACATCGGCTCTTTTCCCTGGGAAAGAAAAGTCACCAGTCCAGGTTCCTGATGTCAGTTTGTAGGGCTCCCGTGGGACTGTCAGGGCAGCACAAGTATGAGGTGGGGGCAGCTCCTGTCTGGGACTTATCCTTCGATGTTCGGATTTTTTGCAGTCAGCTGCCTGCTCAGGGCCACAGGACTCGGGGCGCAAACATCGGCTCTTTACCCTGGGAAAGAAAACTCACCAGTCCAGGTTCCTGATGTCAGTTTGTAGGGCTCTCCTGGGACTGTCAGTGCAGCACAAGTATGAGGTGGGGGCAGCTCCTGTCTGGGACTTATCCTTCGATGTTCCGATTTTTTGCAGTCAGCTGCCCGCTCAGGGCCACAGGACTCGGAGTGCAAACATCGGCTCTTTTCCCTGGGAAAGAAAACTCACCAGTCCAGGTTCCTGATGTCAGTTTGTAGGGCTCCCCTGGGACTCTCAGGGCAACACAAGTATGAGGTGGGGGCAGCTCCTGTCTGGGACTTATCCTTCGATGTTCCGATTTTTGCACTCAGCTGCCCGCTCAGGGCCACAGGACTCGGAGTGCAAACATCGGCTCTTTTCCCTGGGAAAGAAAACTCACCAGTCCAGGTTCCTGATGTCAGTTTGTAGGGCTCCCCTGGGACTCTCAGGGCAGCACAAGTATGAGGTGGGGGCAGCTCCTGTCTGGGACTTATCCTTCGATGTTCCGATTTTTTGCACTCAGCTGCCCGCTCAGGGCCACAGGACTCGGAGCGCAAACATCGGCTCTTTTCCCTGGGAAAGAAAACTCACCAGTCCAGGTTCCTGATGTCAGTTTGTAGGGCTCTTTTTGGACTCTCAGGGCAGCACAAGTATGAGGTGGGGGCAGTTCCTGTCTGGGACTTATCCTTCAATGTTCGTATTTTGTGCAATCAGCCTCTCGCTCAGGGCTGTAGGGTCCTGAGCACAAACTCAGGCTTTTCTTTCCAAGGCTGAGCAATCACTTTTGCTTCGTAATGCAAACAATGACTGACCTGCTTAGTACAAGACCCTCAGCCTGGTTTGGTGCCCTCTGCCACTGATTTGAACTGTCTGCATCTGAAAGGAAGTTAGGACTAGTGTCAAAATGCTGCAGGACAACTTAACAGTACCAAACGTGTCATGTCAATTTCCCAGTACAGCCTCGAGCCCAACTACACCCTGCATTACCAATTTCAAGTCCCCAGGACTTGTGCTATTACAGGCTACGCAGCAGGGCAGAGCAGCTCCGGGACAAATACGTGCAGACACCCGTGACACAGGACAGGACATGACAAACCAGGAGACAGAACAGGGAGGGAGAGCTTTTGAGGAGAAGAAAGGACTGAGAGACCCAAAGAACAGAGAGTGCACCAGAGAAAAGTGACAGGACACACACCGGAACTGCTCTGCCCTGCGCACCTCAGCACTGAGATCAAAACAGACACTTTCCCTTCAGCTGGCCTAAGGAGACGCTTCTTAGACATCCCCGTATCCAAAACTGACTCAAAAACCCCTCCTGGGGACTCCCAACCTGGCACCTCGCTTCCATGCCCTCTGTGGGTTGTAGCCCTTGACTTATCTGGCATATATCTGGGGATCCAAATCTCCATCGGGTGCAGAACGAGGCCTCCTGCCTGTCTGGGAAACTCCAGTTGTCACCAGACTGTTCTCTCTTGGTCTGCCAAGACAAAGAAAACCAAACATCAGTGCACAACCGTAACAGCACAATGGCCAAAACCTGACAATTCTGCTACTCACCATTCTCCTCAGAATGGTCGGGCCACACACCGCAGGCGTGCTTGGAGGCCGACAGCATCATCTCAGGGTACACCTAGATTAAGTGGAGAAAGGGTGACATGGCATTGCTGAAACTTGAGTGGACTCTCACTCCTCCTCCCTACCTCCCTGACTCACCACAACTCCTTGGCCACTGCTCTGGGTTACCAGGATGGGACCTTGAAATGCAAAATCAGTAGGCTTCATCACAGGGTCCTGTAATACTTCCAGAGGACTCACAAGCACAGCAAACCCAGTCCATCAGCCAGCTGCTGACAGGGGATATGCAAACTCCCAGTGGATTCCCTAAAGCACAAAAACAAGAATGGATGCTTACAGTTGCACCAAAAAGTGAAACCTGAGCAAGAACAACTGCTTCTCTCCACTGCTCACCTGGCACACTGGGCCTTGACTGCTGCTATCTGCCTGGACCTCCTAAAAATAAAGGCAAAGAACACCGCTGTAACAGAGTCACCACTTAGGCTGCTTCCCCTGTAAATGCAAACAATGACTGACCAGCTCATGGGAAGTTCTCCACCCAGGACTGTGGCCCTCTGGCACTGATTTGAACTGTCTGCATCTGAAAGGAAGTTAGAACTAATGTCAAAATGCTGCAGGACAACTTAACAGTACCAAGCATGTTATGTCAATCTCCTAACACAACCTGGAGCCCAGCTACACCCTGCATTACCAATTTCAAGTCCCCAGGACTTGTGCTATTACAGGCTATGCAGCAGGGCAGAGCAGCTCCGGTACAAATATGTGCAGACACCCGTGACACAGGACAGGACATGACAAACCAGGAGACAGAACAGGGAGGGAGAGCTTTTGATGAGAAGAAAGGACTGAGAGACCCAAAGAACACAGAGTGCACCAGAGACAAGTGACAGAACACACACCGGAACTGCTCTGCCCTGCGCACCTCAGCACTGTGATCAAAACAGACACTTTCCCTTCAGCTGGCCTAAGGAGACGCTTCTTAGACATCCCCGTATCCAAAACTGACTCAAAAACCCCTCCTGGGGACTCCCAACCTGGCACCTCGCTTCCATGCCCTCTGTGGGTTGTAGCCCTTGACTTATCTGGCATATATCTGGGGATCCAAATCTCCATCGGGTGCAGAACGAGGCCTCCTGCCTGTCTGGGAAACTCCAGTTGTCACCAGACTGTTCTCTCTTGGTCTGCCAAGACAAAGAAAACCAAACATCAGTGCACAACCGTAACAGCACAATGGCCAAAACCTGACAATTCTGCTACTCACCATTCTCCTCAGAATGGTCGGGCCACACACCGCAGGCGTGCTTGGAGGCCGACAGCATCATCTCAGGGTACACCTAGATTAAGTGGAGAAAGGGTGACATGGCATTGCTGAAACTTGAGTGGACTCTCACTCCTCCTCCCTACCTCCCTGACTCACCACAACTCCTTGGCCACTGCTCTGGGTTACCAGGATGGGACCTTGAAATGCAAAATCAGTAGGCTTCATCACAGGGTCCTGTAATACTTCCAGAGGACTCACAAGCACAGCAAACCCAGTCCATCAGCCAGGTGCTGACAGGGGATATGCAAACTCCCAGTGGATTCCCTAAAGCACAAAAACAAGAATGGATGCTTACAGTTGCACCAAAAAGTGAAACCTGAGCAAGAACAACTGCTTCTCTCCACTGCTCACCTGGCACACTGGGCCTTGACTGCTGCTATCTGCCTGGACCTCCTAAAAATAAAGGCAAAGAACACCGCTGTAACAGAGTCACCACTTAGGCTGCTTCCCCTGTAAATGCAAACAATGACTGACCAGCTCATGGGAAGTTCCTCATCCAGGACTGTGGCCCTCTGGCACTGATTTGAACTGTCTGCATCTGAAAGGAAGTTAGAACTAATGTCAAAATGCTGCAGGACAACTTAACAGTACCAAGCATGTTATGTCAATCTCCTAATACAATTTGGAGCCCAGCTGCACCCTGCATTACTAATTTCAAGTCCCCAGGACTTGTGCTATTACAGGCTACACAGCAGGGCAGAGCAGCTCCGGTACAAATATGTGCAGACACCCGTGACACAGGACAGGACATGACAAACCAGGAGACAGAACAGGGAGGGAGAGCTTTTGATGAGAAGAAAGGACTGAGAGACCCAAAGAACACAGAGTGCACCAGAGACAAGTGACAGAACACACACCAGAACTGCTCTGCCCTGCGCACCTCAGCACTGTGATCAAAACAGACACTTTCCCTTCAGCTGGCCTAAGGAGACGCTTCTTAGACATCCCCGTATCCAAAACTGACTCAAAAACCCCTCCTGGGGACTCCCAACCTGGCACCTCGCTTCCATGCCCTCTGTGGGTTGTAGCCCTTGACTTATCTGGCATATATCTGGGGATCCAAATCTCCATCGGGTGCAGAACGAGGCCTCCTGCCTGTCTGGGAAACTCCAGTTGTCACCAGACTGTTCTCTCTTGGTCTGCCAAGACAAAGAAAACCAAACATCAGTGCACAACCGTAACAGCACAATGGCCAAAACCTGACAATTCTGCTACTCACCATTCTCCTCAGAATGGTCGGGCCACACACCGCAGGCGTGCTTGGAGGCCGACAGCATCATCTCAGGGTACACCTAGATTAAGTGGAGAAAGGGTGACATGGCATTGCTGAAACTTGAGTGGACTCTCACTCCTCCTCCCTACCTCCCTGACTCACCACAACTCCTTGGCCACTGCTCTGGGTTACCAGGATGGGACCTTGAAATGCAAAATCAGTAGGCTTCATCACAGGGTCCTGTAATACTTCCAGAGGGCTCATAAGTGCAGCAAACCCAGTCCATCAGCCAGCTGCTGACAGGGGCTTAGCATACTCCCAGTGGATTCCCTAAAGCACAAAAACAAGAATGGATGCTTACAGTTGCACCAAAAACTGAAACCTTAGCAAGAACAACTGCTTCTGTCCACTGCTCACCTGGCACACTGGGCTTTGACTGCTGCTATCTGCCTGGACCTCCTAAAAATAAAGGCAAAGAACAGTGCTGAAACAGATTCACCATTTATGCTTCCCCTGTAAATGCAAACAATGACTGACCAGCTCATGGGAAGTTCTTCACCCAGGACTGTGGCCCTCTGGCACCGATTTGTACTGTCTGCATCTGAAAGGAAGTTAGGACTAATGTCAAACCGCTGCAGGACAACTTAACACCACCAAACATGTTCTGGTAATCTCCTAATACAATTTGGAGCCCAGCTGCACCCTGCATTACTAATTTCAAGTCCCCAGGACTTGTGCTATTACAGGCTATGCAGCAGGGCAGAGCAGCTCCGGGACAAATATGTGCAGACACCCGTGACACAGGACGTGAGAAACGAGGGGACAAGACAGGGAGAGAGAGCTTTCCACAAGAAGAAAGGACTGGGAGACCCAAAGAACACAGAGTGCACCAGAGACAAGTGACAGGACACACACCGGAACTGCTCTGCCCTGCGCACCCCGGCACTGTGATCAAAACAGACACTTTTCCTTTAGCTGGCCTAAGGAGACACTTCTTGGACATCCTCATCTCTAAAACTGACTCAAAAACCCCTCCTGGGGAGTCCCAACCTGGCACTTCGCTTCCATCCCCTCTGTGGGTTGTAGCTCTTGATTTATCTTGCACATATCTGGGGATTCAAATCCCCATCGGCTGCCGAAGGGGGCCACTACTCCCATCCCCAGGCCATGGACCCCACTTATCTTTTGGATGACTGGAAATGCGAATCCACGTTGGACCTGAAATGAGTCTGCCTCGGAGGGGATCTCCTGTTGGCCTCTTATTCAGCTAGAATAAAGAACAGGAAAATCAATGGTTGAGTTTAGTGTTATGTGGGCCAAATCCCAGCAAGTCAGATACTTATCCTCTCCTGAGTGTGCTTGGGTGCTCAAGTCTCCAGTTCCATCCCTAGTCTAAGGTTTGGCTGTTATTATGAGTAGCACCTGGTTTAGAGAGGCAAAGTTACATGGCATTTCTGTGAGTTCAGTGGATGAGCTTGTGTGCTGTATGACACACGGATGCCTCTGCTATACTTGTGAAAAGCCTTGCAAATAGACACCATTTCTCACCCTACTGCCTGCAAAACCCCACCATGATAACTCTTAACTTGGTACCCTGCTCACTCTCCCACTCCTAGTCCCAATCCTCAACTCACCTGAAGCCTCAATCTCAGACATCATCTTTGACACAGGGCAGATCTCTTTTGGAACATGATCACTCTGCTGAAAAAATGCTGTACTCGACACAACCTGGAATTACAGGAAGTTGCACTCCTCCTAAAAAAAAAAAAAAAGAAAAAAAAAAGAAAAAAAAAGAAAAATTAGAGATTACAAAAGCACCACCCCTGAATGCACAACCCCAAATCATGAATTTAAATACTACCTGTGTTCAGTGTTGTTTTCCTCACAGTATCTTCACAGCCTCTGTTGCATTAGAAGCCCAAAACACCTGCAGAGAACAAACAGAGATAAGCTGAAAGAGCCTCTTCACAAAAATGAGAGGAGAGCACTTACCCCAGTGGATCCCAAAGACAAAATGAAGCCTCTTAGCAAAGGCTGGGGTTAATATACCCCTGATTGGGCTGATTCAGAGCAGCTGTGGCTGTTTGGCTCCTCTGATTTGAGTTCAAGGGGAATAATGGGCTGGATACAGAAGAAAACTCTTCAGGGAAATGGGCTGATTGGGCTGATTCAGAGCAGCTGTGGCTGTTTGGCTCCTCTGATTTGAGTTCAAGGGGAATAATGGGCTGGATACAGAAGAAAACTCTTCAGGGAAATGACAGCTGCTTCTCTGTGTCACCCTCCAGCTGCCCCTGTCCCCCTCAGCATCTCCCTGTGTCACCCACTGTCCCCTCCCCCTGTTCCTCCCTCAGCTCCCAGCCTCTGTCACCCTCAAACCCCCACAGTGCCCCTCAAGCTGCCCCTCAGCCTCTATGCCATGAAAAGACCCTAAAAAAACATTAAAATGCCCTAAAAACACCCTCATCCTCACTATGTCCTAAAACCCCCACAAAATCATAAAAATAGGCTCAGAATACCCTTAAAATACAATAAAATTACCCTACTTTAAAAAAACCCTAAACCACCCCTAAAAATCCCCAAAGAACCTTTAAAAATCCCTAAACATTCCTAAAAGAGCTCTAAAAATAGCCCCAAAATCCTTAAAACAGACTGATAAGACCCTAAAAACCATAAAACTTCCCTCAAAAAACCTAAAAATACTCTGGTCCTAAGAGTCCTCCACATACCCCCAATAGTCCTAAAAAAGCCCTAAAAATTTTTAAATAGTCTTAAAAAAGCCCCAAGAACACCCCAGAAAAAAAACCCATAGAAATTCTAATTAGTACTAAGAAAGCCCTTGAAGCACCTTAAATAAATCTTTTAAAAACCCTGAAAATACCCTAGAAGTAGCCTAAAACCTCCCAGAAAGTTCCTCAAGAGCTTCTGTGAGAAAACCCCTCAAACACCCTTTAAAAACACTTTAAAAAATACCTTAAAAAGTGCTCAGTCCCAGACACCATCCATGCCTTTTAATTAAAGTCACTGCCTGCAGCTGCTGGGAGGGTTCTGGGGCTGTCCCAGCATTAGGGTCACTGCCTGCAGCTGCTGCTGGGGAAAACTGGTGTTCTTGGGGTGCTGTTTGGGGTGAGCTTAGGGCTTGTTCACCTGTCACCCTCAGGCACCCTCCACTTTGTCCCTCAAGGCACCCCTTGCCTCTCAGGCTCCATGTGTCACCCTCCAGCTCCCCATTGCAGCCTCTCAGTGTCCCTGTGCCCCCCTTTTTACTCCTACAGACCCCTTCTGCCTCTCAGCCTCCTTGTGTCACCCTCCAGCTCCCCATTGCAGCCTCTCAGCATCTCTGTGCCCCCCTTTTTACTCCTACAGACACCTTCTGCCTCTCAGCTGCCCCCACCCTCTGTGCCACCCTCCAGCCCCCTGCCCTCAGCCCCAGGTCTGTTTGTGACACGGTGCAGCCCACAGATGTCATCCCTGCCTGTTTTATTTTGGGCTCCCATGTGGTGCTGCTAGGAGTCACAGGTGGGTGGTGGGGGGAGTGAGGGATGGGGCAGGATGGGGAGGGGTGAAGGGTGAAGAGAGAGTAGGATGGGGGGGCTGGAAGTACAGATAGGGGTGAGGGGGGGAAGACAGGGACAGAGAAGAACAGGGGTGAGGGAGAAGGTGAGGGTAGCAGGGGGCATCACATATCTGACAGACAAAAGCTGCAGCAGAATAAAATTCTGTTTGCTGAGGCAATGCCAAACACCTGCTGCAAACTGACATAAGAAACCTGGGGGAAAGGGCCACTGTTCGTGCTGAGGGGCCTGTGACCCTGAGGTGGCAGCTGCCTGCAAAAAATCTGAATGTCGAAGGATGTGTCCCAGACCCAAGCTGCCCCTGACTCAAAGCCTTACCCTAAACTGAACCCTAAATCCTAACCGAAACGCAAACCCTAACCCTAATCCTAACCTAACCCTAACCTCAAATAAATCTAATAATAATAATACCTCGAAAATTAAACTTAAAAATAAGAATAACCCTAGAAAATGGCGGCGCCCACGGCATGACGTGGCGGGGCAAAGATGGCGGCGCTCAGGGTAGTACATCACCGGGTAAAGATGGCAGCGCCCATGGCATCACGTGACGTTGCAAAGATGGCGGTAAATTGCATCACGTGGTGGGAACAAATATGGCGGCGTCTACTACACCACGTGATGGGACAAATATGGCGGCGCCCAGTTAGTCATGATATGAGGTTTTAAATGGCGGCGCCCTCTGCATCACGTGACTGAATCAAAGATGGCCGTGCCCTGAGAATCACGTGATCGGGCAAAGATGGCGCCTTTCGGGACGGGGTCGATTTTGGCGGTTTTTGGCGGTTTTTTGTGTGCCCTCCGCACGCCCTGCGTGCCGTAGTGCTGTTCCGGTGCACCCGCACCGGAGGACGTCTCGCGAGATTGTTTTTGGAGTGCGGGATTGGTGTCGGAATTTCGGACAGGCGGCTGTCGGGGTGGCTAATGCTTGGGGGCTTTTCTGAGGCGCTGGGGGCGGTGCGAGGGGAGGGGTCGGGGCACCGACGCGGTGACGTCACGCGGTGACGCGCGCAGGGGCGGGCCGGAGGGAGGCGTGGGTGCAGTGTGCGAATTGCACCGGCAGGTGGCGCTGCGAGACCGAGGGGTGGGCGCCCTGCCGGCCGGCGGCTGTGGGGGCAGAGCGCCTGTTTGTGCAATTCTATCCTTGTGATGTTGATTTATTAAAATAAAAATATGGATATTGATCTAGTACCGATATCCAACTGTGACGGACAAAAACTCTCTAACAGTTTGAAGTTAGAAAGTGTATGTTTATTCGACACCCAGCAGCATGTGGGATAGTTCCCAAATACACACCGCACTTTGCAAGTGATTAAAGAGCCCTTTTATCCATACAAGTACTGAATACCGAAAATACAAATACCTATTCATTTTGGTACATCCCATTCCTTGCTTCATATGCTAATCATTTCAAAAGCTATTAAGCATGAAGTTTGTTCCCTGAAATGGGTCAGTGGTCCCTTTCATGGGGATGAGTCCCAAAATGTGGAAGTAAATGAAGTCTTCCTCGTTCTGGCCTTTCTACCGTTTCAATGCAAATATGACAAATGAACTCTTGGTAGAACTCCCATTCCTTGTCTTCAGCTGATTTCAGAACAGAGGAGGCCCACAATTGTCTTATGTTCCTAAAAGTTATTTGTCAGTTTCTATAATCTTCATTATAAACCCAGCTAACTAAACATTGTGCTGACAGGCAATCAATGAATAGACACTTCTTGGACATTCCCATCTCCAAAACCCCTCCTGAGGGGTCCCAACCTGGCACCTCTCTTCCATCCCCTCTTTGGGTTGTAGACCTCAACTTATCTTGCAGAAGGTGGCCACTATTCCCATCCCCAGGCCGTGGCCCTGACTTATGTATTGGATGGCTGGTGATGCAAATCCATGTTGGACCTGAAATTAGTCTGCCTCGGAGGGGATTGCCTGTTAGCCTCTTAGTCTGCTAGAATAAAGAACAGGAAAATCAATGGCTGAGTTCAGTGTTATGTGGGACAAATCCTAGCTTGTCAGCTGCTTATCCTCTCCTGAGTGCACCTGAGTCCTCAAGTCTTCCGCTTCACCCTGAGTCTAAGGTATAGCTGTAATTAGAGAAGCACCTGGGTTAGAGAGGCAATGTTACATGGCATTTCTATTTCAGTGGACGAGCTTGTGTGCTATATGACACATGGATGCCTCTGTTATGCTTGTGAAAAGCCTTGCAAAGAGACATCACTTCCCACCCTACTGCCTACAAACCCCACCACGATAATTCCTGACCAGGCACCTTGCTCACACTCCCTCTCCTAGTCACAATTCTCAACTCACCTGAAGCCTCAATCTCAGACATCGTCTTTGACACAGGGCAGATCCCTTTTGGGACAGATCAATCTGCTGAAAAAATGTTGTACTTGACACAACCTGGAATTACAGGAAGTTGCACTCCTTCTTAAAAAGGAATTAAAAAAAAAAAAAAAAAGAAATTACAAAAGCACTTTACCACCCCTGAACGCACAAACCCAAATAATGAATTTAAATACTCCCTGTGTTCAGCATTGTTTTCTTCACAGTATCTTCAAAGCCTCTGTTGCATTAGAAGCCCAAAAGCACCTGCAGAGAACAAGCTAAGCTGAAAGAGCCTCTTCACAAAAATGAGAGGAGAGCTCTTACCCCAGCTGATCCCAGAGAGGGAATGAAGCCCCTTGGCAAAGGCTGGGGTTAATATACCCCTGATTGGGTCCGCCTCTCATTCCCATGACACCCAGGAAAAGGGAGGGGGCGCCGGGTATAAAAGGTCTCAGAGCAGCTCCAGCTGTTTGGTTCCTCTGGTTTGAATTCAAGGGGAATAAAGGGCTTGATATAGAAGAAAAGTCTTCAAGGAAATAACAGCACTTTTTTTTTTGCTGCAGCTACTTGGCGCAAAAGGGCGAGGAAACTGGTAAGAAATAGAACTTTGTTTTTAGGCAGTATATCTAGATAAGTTGGGTAATTTGCTGTTAACTTCTATAATTATTCCGCAGTGACTACTAAGTAGTACTCAACATGAGACTAAGGGTGGAGAAGAATACTAATTATATGAACAGTCTAAGTTGCCTTGGGGCTACTAATTAGGGCTAACTACATTATAAATGAAAATAAGAAAAAAACTAGGCTCCTGGGCAGCATAAAGGTTAAATACATGCTAGGCTTGCCTTTCTCTGAGATACTTAGTCCTAGGGCACAGAAAGAAGTGCCCTGAAAGGTAGTTTTAAACCCTTAAAATGCTGAAAAAGCATTTTAGAAGAGCCTCCTTCAAGTGAATCACTTAAAATGAGGAAATGGGGAAGTTACCTCCACTGAAATGGATACAATGGCAAATAAATGGCTTCTGCTCTTTAATTTAATCCCCTAGAATATTGGGAAAAGAGAAGTTTTCCTCACTTTAAATCTCTCCAGTGATGAAGACAGAGGGATGTTCCCCTCAATCCAAATCTTTAAGAAAGAGGGATAGCTGGGCTTACCCTTCAATTTAAGCCTTAGGACAACAAAAAGGGTTACCCTCAATTCAAACCCATAAAAAACATTGTCAAGGTTTTCCCCTTTTATTTAAACTTCTTTTTAAAATAATGGAAAATGGGGATTCCCTGTCAATTAACACCCCTAACAGCATAGAAAAGGCAGGGACTATTTCAACTGAGACCATTAAAATTGCCAGGGAAGTGCATTCCCTCATGATTTGAACACAAGAAATAATGGAAAAGGAAGCTTTTTCCCATAATTTAAACCCCTTCTCTCTTCATAACCCCCCTCTTTTCTGGGAGTGCTTTGGAAGGTCTGGGGGTTCTAGGGAGGGGCTGGCACAATAAAAGGGGAAAGTTGAAAGCTCTCCCGTGGAACCCCACATGATGCCCGGCCTGCTCAGGTGCTGCCCCTTGGCAAGAGGGCTCTTCCCTTGGCATTTTCTCAAAGGGATGCTCCGTGCCCAGGTGGGTCCGGGTGCTCCCCAGTCCCTGCTGGATGTTCCAAACCATAGTTCCTGGAGGTACACTTGGGATACCCCTGTTAGCCCCTCTGGATTAGCAGCTCCCTGTGCAGGTGTGTCCAGGTAGCTGCACTGAAAGCAGCTGGTCACATGGGGAGCTGCTACACCTAGGAGTGGGGGATGAGGTGAAGAAAGGTCCTGCGGGGTGTTCCCTCCCCTACACAGCCCTTTGTCAGACCCTTAAAAAACGGGGTGCCAGACTTTCATTTCCAAGATAATTAACAGTCTTTCCCCTGGCCAAACAGGAATTGTGTTTCCAAAATTGCAAATGGTGAATGATTTCTCACAGACCACAGCTGCCAACACCAGGAACTCTTGCTGCCCTAGGAGAGCAGCATGCCTCCAGTGAACAGACATCAACACACAGGGAGGGTGAGCTTGATTTACAGGGAAAAAGGGCACAGGTCGGATAACGAGGCCTGTGGCGCCAAGTGACTTTCTACATCTTCTAGTTCTGAATGGCACAGGATTTACCCTGGAGCAAAACTGCTGCCAGCAACAATTCTGCCTGCCCTGGAAGAGACAAGCGCCTCCTCGAAACTGACATCAGGCCTGTATCGGAGGCCTAGGCTGCAGAAGCTCAAATCTCATTCCAGACATAAATCATGACCTCTCTCAGAAATCCTGCAGGAAAATGCTCCTGTGCAAGCATCCCCGTCAAAAATAAAGTTTTTTCTGTTTTATGTGCAGGTAAGTTGACAGAAATATTAACAGAAATATTAACAGAAATATTAACAGAAATATTAACAGAAATATTAACAGAAATATTAACAGAAATATTACCAAATTAACAGACATTAACAAATATTAATAAAAATTAACCAAAATATTAACAAAAATTAATAGAAATATTAAAAGCAATATTAACCCAAATTAACAGAGATATTAGCAGAAATTAACAAAAAATTTGCAGAAATTAACAAAAATTAGCAGAAATTAACAAAAACTAACAGAAATTAACAGAAATAAGCATTATCTCTGCAATAAAATCTCAGCATTCCACAGGAATCATCAGAGGCTTTCTGGGACCTAAAGAATTCCCAATCCCATTTTTTTTTCTCTTTATTCCCTCTGGAAGAGTCTGGGAATTTCCTGGGAAAATCCAAAAACAGTGGAAATGCTGAGCCCGGTCCCAGAGCAGCAGGAATTTCAGGAGAGGTCTGGGAATTCCAGGACGTTTCTGGGAATTCCAGGTGGGATCAGAGGGCAGGAGGGGCTTGGGAATTCCAGCGGGAAGGAGTTTTTTGGGAATTCCAGGAGGGATCAGAGGGCGGGGGGGGAGGGGGGGGCTGGGAATTCCAGAGGGAAGGAGGTTTTTGGGAATTCCAGGAGGGATCAGACCCAAGAAGGGTTTGGGAATTCCAGAAGGTTTTTGGGAATTTCAGGAGGGAAGGAGGGGTTTGGGAATTCAGGAGGGGTTTGGGAATTCCAGGAGGTTTCTGGGAACTCCATGTGGGATCAGAGGCCAGAGGGGTTTGGGAATTCCAGGAGGTTTTTGGGAAATTCAGGAGGGGTTTGGGAATTCCAGGAGAATTCCAAGCATTTCCATGCTCAGCTGTGGATACAGAACATCCCTGTAACTGTTCCCCAGGATTTGGGAATTCCACCCCTCTCAGCTGTGGATCCCTGTGACTTTCCCCCAAGATTTGGGAATTCCAGCCCCCTCAGGTGTGGATCCCTGTGACTTTTCCCCCAGAATTTGGGAATTCCAAGCATTGCCATGTTCAGCTGTGGTTCCAGGACATCCCTGTGACTTTTCCCCCAGAATTTGGGAATTCCAACCCTCTCGCTCTCAGGGCTGTCCCAAATCCCACTCCTGCACCTTCCTGGGCTCCTCCCGCATATGGGAATTCTCCCGGGAATTTGGGATGGGCCTGGGGCTCCTCCTAGCGTGGAACCTCTGGAAGCAGAAGAGCAGGGACAGGACCAGGGTGTCCAGGAGCAGCTCCAGCATCTCCACCACCGAGAGCACCGAGGAGCCAAACCAGAGGCTCCACTGGCTGCCCATGCTGGACAGCAGCAGGTTCTCCTAAAAAAAAAAAAAAAAAAAAAAAAAAAAAACCGGAAAGGTTTGGGGTCTTATTTTCTGTTTGTTTGTTTGTTTTTTCTATTTCTCAATTCCTTATTTGGACCATATGGGATCAGTGGTTCAATTTCCCAATAGTTTTCCCTAAATAAAAAACCCAGAACCAATCCCAAACCTCCAAAGAGTTCTCTTGCTCCAGCAGCTTCTCCTACAAAAAAAAAAAAAAAAAAAAAAAAAAAAAAAAAAAAAAAAAAAAAACAAAAACAAAAAGGGAAAGGTTTGTGGTCTTATTTTGATTTTTTATGATTTTTTATATTCCTCACACCCAGATTTGGAGCATATGGGATCAGTGGTTCATTTTCCCAATAATTTTCCCTAAATGAAAACCCCAAAACCAATACAAACCAGAGGTTCCACTGGCTGCCCATGCTGGACAGCAGCAGGTTCTCCTAGAAAAAAAAAAAAAAAAAAAAAAAAACCAAAACTGAAAGGTTTCTATTCCTCACACCCATATTAGTTTTGGGGTTTTTTTTAAATGTTTTTTCTATTCCTCATTCCATATTTGGACCATATGGGATCAGTGGTTCAGTTTCCCAATAATTTTCCCTAAATAAAACACCAAAACAAATCCCAAAGCTCCCAGCAGCAGGTTCTCCTAAAAAAAAAAACAAAAAGGGAAAGGTTTGGGGTCTTATTTTCCTTTTAAAATGTTTTGCTATTCCTCACACCCATATTTGGAGCCTATGGGATCAGTAATTCATTTTTCCCTAAATAAAACCCCAAAACCAATCCCAAAATCTCATATAAAAAACCCAAAAAGAGAAAGGTTTGGGGGTTTATTTTGATTTTTTAATGTTTTTTCTATTCCTCACACCCATATTTGGAGCCTATGGGATCAGTAACAAATCTTTTCCCTAACAAAACCCCAAAGCCAATCCCAAAATCTCCTGTAAAAACCCCAAAAAGGGTCAGTCAGGGTAGGGTTTGGGGCTTTATTTTGGGATTAATGGATCAATTTCCCAATAATTTTCCATTATTTGCCAAATTCTGGATGCAGTAGCCAGGGATGGGCAGTGGGAACAATATTATCTTATAAATAAATATATTTATATATAATATAAAGGGAAATAATTTAGTTCCATTAATATTGTCATAGTTATAATTAATATTATAATATAAACAAATATATTTATATATAAAATAAAAGGAAATAATTTACTGCTATTAATAGTGTCACATTACTAATTAATGTTATCATATACATAAATATATTTATATATAATATAAAAATAAATTACTTCTATTAATATTATCATATTAACAGTTAATATTATAATACAAATAAATATATTTTTATATAATATAAAAATAAAAAATTTACTTCTATTAATATTATCATATAAACAAATAGATGCATATACATATCATATAAAATATAACAGAACAATATATACTAGTTAATGGTTAATATTATAATGGAAATAAGTATATTTTTATATAAGATAAAAATAAATACTAAGTTTATATTAATATAATATCAGTATATGATATTATCTGTTATATTAATATTTAATATTATAATATATATTATATATGATTTTCTAAATAATATTAATATAATACAATAATTTATATCATCATATAAATAGCTGTATTTATATCTAATACAAAAATATTATATAGAAATTATATAAATGTATTCATATAGATTATATAAATATAATAATATCAATTATATAAATATATAATACAAATATCTAAATTATATGAATATAGTAGATTGTAATTTAATATAATATTATAATACATTATAAATATTATATAGATTATAATATATTATAATAGATTATATATATTATAATAGTTTATAATATAATATAATCAATAATATATATTGTAGTAATATAATACAATATAACATGATAATATAAGATAATATTATAATGTGTAATAGAACATAATAATGTATAATATGACACAATATTATATTATATATGATATGAAAATTAATTTCTAGTCATTAAGAATTAACACTATCACAGAAATAAATCTATATACTTGCATATCATATCAAATGACACAGAAATAATGTAATTCTGGGAATTCACCCCTCCTGAAGCTCTGAGGAACTCCATGGAAAGGGAATAAAACTGAAATTTTGCAGGAAAAGTCACCTACGGAGAGCAGCGGGGCCTCGCGCACGGCCTGTGAGCTCAGCTGGCGGTAGAAGATGGTGACCTTGGCAACGTCCCTCCTGAAGGAACATGAGCGCTGGCACTGCCGGGCAGCGCACCGGGCACCGGCACCTCCCAGCAGGCACCGGGGCATTCCCAGTTGGGACTGGGACATCCCAGTTGTGAATTCCCAGAGGGCACCAAGGACATTCCTAGTTGGGACTGGGACGTTCCCAATGGGCACTGGTAACATTCCAGTGGGCACCAGGGGGACATTCCCAGTTGGGACTGGGACATTCCCAGTTGGGAATTCCCAGTGGGCACTGGGACATTCCAATGGGCACTGGCACATTCCGAGTTGTGACTGGGACATTCCAATTGACACTGGGACATCCCACTGGGCATTGAGACATTCCCAGTTGGGACTGGGGGAACATTTTTTGGGGACTTATTGGGCATTTACTGGGAATTTATTGGAATTTATTGGGGATTTACTGGGAATTTATGGGGGTTTTATTTGGGAGTTCACTGGGGATTTATTGGGAGTTTTTTGGCAGTTATGAGGGTTTTTTGGGGAATTTTTGAGGGGTTTTTCCGTTGCCCTCCCTCCTCCATCCTAGACCCCATGGATTGGGATGATCCCATAGACTGGGATGACCTCACGGATCAGGAACATCCCAGGATTTACCTCCTGCTGCTGAAGCTGTAGTCGTTCTGGTGCCGCAGAGCCTGGTGCACCCAGTCCTGCCATGGGAATGTTGGCATGGGAATGGTGGCATTGGGAATATTGTTAGTGGAATGTTGGCATTGGAATGTTGTTAATGGAATGTTGGCATGGGAATATTTGTTAATGGAATACTGGCACTGGAATGTTGTTAATGGGATTTTGTTAATGGAATTTTGGCATTGGAATATTTGTTATTGGAATATTCATTACTGGAATGTTTCTGTTGGAATAGTAATGACTGGAATGTTCATTATTGGAATGTTTGTTATTGGAATATTCATTACCAGAATATTTGTTATTGGAATATTCATGACTGGAATGTTTCTACTGGAATATTCATGACTGAAATGTTTCTGTTGGAATATTCATGCTGGAATATTAATTACTGGAATGTTCATTCCTGGAATTTTTATTATTGGAATATTCATGACTGGAATATTCATGATGGAATATTAATGAATTATTACTGCAATAATAATTCCTGGAATGTTCATTCCTGGAATTTTGCCGTACCTGGGCTTTTGCCGAGGGCCACTTGGCTGTGCCAGCCGAGACCTTGTACAGGGATTCCCTGGGGAGAGAAAAGCGGGAATGCTGAGAAAAATGGGAATTCCTGAGTGTTTCAGAGGGATTCATTCCTAGAATTTAATTCTTTCTGTCTAATTTTATATGATATGTAAATATATATATTTATTTCTATGAGAATATTCATGATTTAGTCAGATAAATGAATTATTTAGCTTTAATTTTATTATATTAATATTTATATTATATTACTATGATAATACTAATTATTAATTCATATAAATTATTTTGCTATATTTTTATTTTCTATAAATACGTGTATTAATTTATAATATTTTATTTATTTATATACTTATGTCTATCCTAATATTAATTATTAATTAATTATTAATTTCCCTTCAGAAATTTGAGAAAAGCTTCCCAATTCAGCTCACAAAATAAAGCCTGAATAATTAAATCTAATACATATAGATAGTATAAATAAATATATTTGTTAAATATAATAACTACAAATAATAGAAATAAATATATTTGTTAACTTAACTAGAATAACTACAAATAATAGAAATAAATCTCTATTAAATATAATATATATTAATACACCTCTTTATTAAGTTATAGATTAAATAGATTAAATAATTAAATTTAGATGAGAAAGATATGGGAGCATTAAATTGAAATTTAATTTTAACTTACATTCAATTTAAACCGAATTTAATTTCAATTCAAATGAAAAGTGAATTGAACCTAACAAAGATGGGAGCATAAATTGAAATTTAATTTTAATTTCCATTCAATTTAAGCTCAGTTTAATTTATATTAAATTCCAATTAAAAGATATTTAAATTCTAACTAAAAGAGGAATAAATTCTGATTAAACTGGGATTTGGGGCTCACCTGCAGGGCTTGGGGCAGTGCTGGAAGCAATCCAGGCGGTGACTGTGGAGCCGCCAGTGCAGCTGGTAAAAGCAGTGCCCTGGGAAATGCATGGAAGGAACTTGGGAATTCCCAGGAATTCCTGGGAATTCCCACTCCCTCTGGAAGTTTATTATTATTACTATTATTATTATTTATTCCCCACCCCGGTGCCTTACCCCAGGCGAGCTGGCGGCTCTAGTCACAATTCCCGGGGATTATATCCCAGGCAATCTCAATGATTGTTTCCCAGGATCCATTGAATTCCCGGGAATAGTAATAATAATAATAATAATAATTACTCCAGGCGGGCTGCCAGTGGTAGTCACAATTCCCAGGCAATCCCAGGGATCTATTTTTATTTTTGTTATTCTAATAATTATAATAAACACAATAACAATAATAACAATAATAAGAATAATAACAATAACAATTACCCCAGGTGGGCTGGTGGCAGTAATCCCAGGCAATCCCAGGGATTTATAATAACAATAACATTAACAATAACAATAATAACAATATTAATAATAATAATAACACTAATTACCCCAGGCGGGCTGGCGGTGGTAGTCGCAGTAGCGCGCGCCGGCGGGCAGCGGGTAGTAGATGTAGCCGCAGCCACAGTGTCGCAGCATGGCCAGCTGGAAGCACGAGTGCAGGCAGGCCTGTGACAGGGAAACATGGGATAAACAAAAACGTTCCGGGCTCTAGGGGGGAACCGGTGGGAGAAAATGGGGAGAGAAAAATTGCAATAAAAAATAAAAAATTTGGAATCTGTAGGGTGGAGCTGGTAGAAGAGAAAGGGAGAAAAATTGAATAAATAAAAGAAAAATCAGAATCTCTAGGATGGAGCTGGTAGGAGAAAAAGGGGGGGAAATTGCATAAATAAAAGAAAAATCAGAATGTCTAGGATGGAGCTTTTAGGAGAAAAGGGAGAAAAAATAATTTGAATACATTTTTTTAAAAATCCAGATCTCTAGGATGGAGCTCTTAGGAGACAAGGGCAAAAAAAATTGGAGTTGTCATTGTAGAGCAGCTCCAGCCTGGCTAAGCCGGGTTTAGCTAAGCCAGGCTCAGTACCCGCAGGGTGTAGGAGCTGTTGTAGGACAGCTCCATCCTGACTAAGCTGGGTTTAGCTAGGCCAGGCTCAGTACCTGCACGGTGTGGGAGCTGTAGAGCAGCTCCAGCCTGGCTAAGCCAGGTTTAGCTAAGCCAGGCTCAGTACCTGCAGGGTGTAGGAGCTGTTGTAGAGCAGCTCCACGGCTACGTCGGCCCCGTCCGCGGTGCACTTGCCATAGTTGCCACCCAGGCGATTGACCTGGTCCTGTGGGGACATGAAGGAGCCTGGGGTGATTAATTAGCAGGGCTAATTAATTAGTGCCCTGAGTGATGGGCAGGGTTAATTGGAGCTCTGGGTGATTAGCAGGGTTAATTAAAGCCAGCCTTTGCTCTCTGGACTTCACTGCAGGAAGGGAAGGTTTGGGATGGTTTAGGATGATTTAGGATGATTTGGGATGGTTTGGGACAGTTTGGGGATGGTTTGGCATGCTTGGGGATGGTTTGGGATGGTTGGGGATCATTTGGGATGGTTGGGCATGGTTGGGCATGGCTGGATTTTGGTTCCCCTGTGCCCACCTGGCGGATGCCGATGGTGGTGGCGATGCCCGGGCGGATATGGAAGCCCTCGTGCTCCAGGAACGGGGTCTGGTTGTGGCTGTGGATCATCACCTTCACCCCAGCCACAGTGGAGAGCAGCGGTATGTGCTCCTGCTGCTCAGCCCGCAGGATCAGGGACAGCCCTGGGGACACACCGGGGGACAGAAGAACAGCTGGAGTACCCAGCTCTGGGCAAATCCCTCCTGTTAGGGCCCAGATTTGGGTTCTGAGATCCCTCACTTTGAATTCCTGGTTTTGTGGCTCTCCAAATTGAATTTTCTCAATTTTGGCTCTTTTCCCCCATTTTGGAGATCACTCACCATAAGGAATTCCTGGCTTTGTGGCTCTCCAGAAGGGATCTGTCCCCTTGCTGTTGAAAGTGTAGCAGCTCCCAAAAACTGGGTGGTGGAAGGGAACGTAATCACTGGAAAATCAGAGACTCTGTGGGGTTAATTATTTAATTTGTGACCTTGATTCCAAGCTGGGTGTGTTTGGGGAAATGGGAATTGCTGGGAAATCAAGAGTGATTGGATGTAATTTTAATTATTTGGTTTATTACCATAACTCCAAGATGGTTGTGTTTGGGAAAATGGGAATCGCTGGAAAATCAAAAGAGATTTGAGAGTTTTACTGGAATTTTAATTATTTGATTTATGACCGTAATTTAAAGCTGGATGTGTCTGGGAAAATGGGAATCACTGGAAAATCAAGAGTGTGTATATATATATATATATATATATATATACACATATATACACTATGCCATATATAGTATACAGAGTTAGAAAATCAAGTTAGTTTTTTCTGTTTTCCCTTCCCTCTTTGACATAACATGCGCCTGTGAGTTATTTCGTCCCGCAGCGCGACACCCTTTCCATAAACCCTTTTCTGGACACCCTTTCCATAAACCCTTTTTTAGACACCCTTTCCGTAACCCCTTTTTTTTGGACACCCTTTCCATAACCCCTTTTTTGGACTCCCTTTCCATAACCCCTTTCCCCATACCTACCCCGACTCCCCTTGGCATGCCTCCCGCGCCCTCCCGCGTGCCCACCTGGACCGGCAGGGCTCGCCGTCATACTGGCAGGAGTAGACCAGGTCCTGGAAGCGCCGCGGGTACCGGGCCAGCGCTGGGGGCAGCTGGGCCAGCAGGTTGATGAAGTGGAAGCGAAACCACTCCTGCAGCGCGGCCGTGCCCGACACGTGTGAGCTGTAGAAGCAATCCCCGCCTGTGGAGTTGCACTGGAGAAGGGCGGAGGGGAAAAGGGGATGTGAGCTGGGGTGGGAGTTGTGGGGTGGAGGGGAAGGATTGGGTTCTTAGGTTGTGTTATGTTAATTACGTTACATTACATTACATTACATTATATTATATATTATATTATATTATATTATAGTGCATTATATTACATTACATTACATTATGTATTATGTTATGTTATATCATGTTATATTATTTCAATATATATGAAATACATTATAATACATAATTTCAATATATAGCATATATTAAAAATTTATATATATTTATAAATATATATATATATAAATATATATATAAATATCTAAAAATATACATATTATAGATATAATAGTATATGAATGATACATTATTTTAATATATAATTAATATTTTATATATACATTATTGTATTATGTGGGAAAATATAACATAACATAACATTTTTATATATATATATATATATATTATTTTATTATATGGAAACTATTATTATTCCCTATAGTTATAGATTATTTTTGTGTAAATCCCAACCAGGCATTTTGGGATGAATCCCCATGTATTTTGGGGTGAATCCCCAGTTTCTCTAGGATAAATCCCAATCCCCAGTTTCTTTGGTGTGAACCTCCATGTATATTGGGGTGAACTCCCAGTTTCTTTGGGATAAATCCCAATTCCCATGTATTTTGGGGTGAATCCCGAGTTTCTTTGGGAAAAATCCCAATCCCCAGTTTCTGTATTTTGGGGTGAACCCGCAGTTTCTTTGGCATGCACTTCCACCCTGAGGTCCCCCTGCTGCCCTTCCCATGCCCACCGCTCTGCGGCTGCGCTCACCAGCTGGAATCCCACTCTGGAATGTTTTCTGCCTGCCCCAGGCTCCCACATCCGCACCAGGGAGAAGTTCTGGCTGAGCCTGAAGTTGGTGCTGAGGTTGGCCTGGTGCTGGACAGGGATGGCCTTGTCCCTGTCCCTGCCCTTGTCCCTGTCCTTGTCCTTCTCCTTGTCTCTGTCCTTGTCCTTGTTCCTCTCCTTGTCCCTGTTCTTGTCCTCATCCTTGTCCCTGTCCCTCTGGTGGGACAGCCTGGCCGAGGCTGTGGGGCCATACAGGAAGGTCAGCGACTCCTCAGCCATGCGCTCCAGCTGCTCCAGCTGCTCACTGATCGGCTCAAACCTACAGGGATTGGGGAAAATCCACATTTCGGGAAAAAAATCCTTGGGACACATCCCAACCCATTCCCAAACCTTTGGGACACATTCCCAAACCTTTAGTGCCACATCCCAGCCCATTCCCAAACCTTTGGGACGCATTACCAAACCTTTAGGACGCATCCCAGCCCATTCCCAAAGTCTGGCTCACCTGTAGGGATCCAGGTTGCAGACGGTGACGGCCGGGAACATTTTGGGCTCAGAGTCCATGGACATGGTGAGCACCACGGGGTAGGCCCAGAACTGGCTGAACATGAGGGCAAACTGCCAGTAGAGCATGGCGAGGCTGGCCAGCAGCAGCAGCGTCCAGAACGCCGTCTTGGCGCGGTTCCTGCCCGAGCACACCAGCCGGACAGTGCCGTGGATCGTCGTGTTCTTACAGAAGAACTCAAACATCTCCTTGAAGGAGCTGTAGAACTCGATCAGCCCTTCCTCACCTGGTTCTTCTCCTCCTCTTTCTTCTCCTCCTGGTGGCTCTGGTTCCATCCTCTACGTGGCTTTCTGGGAACAAATGGAAAATTTTTATTAATCTAAGGGAAAGGATCTTCCAAAAAGGCTTTATCAAACAGGCTTGGTCCAAAGAGGTCTTCTCCAAAAAGGTGTTCTCCAAAGAGATTTTTTCCAGAAAAAGGTTCTTCCAAATGGTCTTTTCCAAAGAAGACTTTTCCCAAATCAGCCTATCCCAAATGGTCTCTTCCAAACATATTTTTCCCAAAGAGGGTTTTTCCACAATGGATTTTTCCAAGAGGCTTTTCCAAAGAGGGATTTTCCAAAGAGGTATTTTCCAAAGAGGGTTTTTTTCAAATAAGGCTTTTCCAAAATGGATTTTTCCAAAGTGAACTTTTCCAAACAAGGCTTCTTCAAAGTGGATTTTTCCAATAGGGTTTTTCCAAATAGGCCTTTTCCAAACAGACCTTTTTCCAAACAGATTTTTCCAAAGTGGCCTTTTCCCAAGATTCCTTTTCCAAATAGGTTTTTTTTTTTCCCAAAGAGACCTTTTCCAAACAAGGCTTTTTCAAAGTGGATTTTTCCAAGAGGGTTTTTGGAAAAACCCAAAGAGCCCACTTCCAAAAATGGCTTTTCCCAAGAGGGTTTTTCCTAAGTGGACTTTTCCAAAAAGGCCTTTTCCAAACAAGGCTTTTTCCAATGTGGACTTTTCCAAGAGGGTTTTTCCAAAGAGGCCTTTTCCAAACAGATTTTTCCAAAGTGTCCTTCTTTCCAGGAGTCCTTTTCCGAATAGTTTTTTTTTGTCCAAAGAGCTCTCTTCCAAACAAGTCTTTTGCAAAGAGGGTTTTTCCAAAGAGGGTTTTTCCAAACAAGGCATTTCCAAAGTGGCCTTTTACCAAGTGGATTTTTCCAAGAGGGTTTTTCCAAAGAGACCTTTTCCAAACACACTTTTTTCCAAACAAGGCTTTTTCCAAACAGATTTTTCCAAAGCGGCCTTTTCCCAAGAGTCCTTTTCCAAATCAGTTTTTTTCTAAAGAGCCCTTTTCCAAACAAGGCTTTTCCCAAGAGGGTTTTTCCAAAGTGGACTTTTCCAAGAGGGTTTTTCCAAACACACTTTTTCCAAAAAGGCTTTTCCCAATAGTCCTTTTCCAAACAGGTTTTCTTCCAAAGAGACCTCTGTCCAAACCAGCTTTTTCCAAAGAAACTTTTCCAAAGTTGCCTCTTCCAAAGAATCCTTTTCCAAGCAGGCCCCAAACAAGTTTGTAATTAGGAAAACCTGGTATTAAAAGCACTGAGAATCTGAATCCAGGGAGATTCCCCCAAAATCTGGATCTAGGAAGGAGCAAAAAACCCAAATTCTGCTGCTGCTGAGGAATTCTGAGATTTCCCCAATTCCATAGGATTTCTCTGCCAAGATGGACTCGGGAGAAATGCTGGGAAGTTTGAGGGCAAAAAAGGTGAGGAATTTTCTTCTTTCCAGGAACTCCAAGGGGTTCTGAAGTGTCAGCTCATAGTGGATCCACACAGGTTTGTAATTCCCCACTGGGGGAGAATTTCTAGTGGAATATTCTGAATTAAACATTATTATTTATTATTATTTATTATATTCTAATATGTATGATTTATTATTTATTATTTATATATTTATTTATTATATATTATTTATTATATTAATTGTTTATTTATATATTGATTTTATAGGTTATTTATTATATATATCAATTATTCTACGCATTATTTATGTATAGATTTATTTTTATATATTATTTATTTTATATATTATTTATTCTATGCATTATATATTTATATATTTATTTTTGTAGATTATTTATTCTACATATTATTTATTCTGTGCATTATTTATTTATATATTTATTTTTATGGTTTATTGATTATATATATTATTTATCATATGCTTTGCTTATGTGTATGTTTATTTTTATATTATATTATATTATATTATATTATATTATATTATATTATATTATATTATATTATATTATATTATATTATATTATGTCATATTATGTCATATTGTGCTATATTGTGCTATATTGTGCTATATTGTGTTATAATAAATAATTCTATTATATTACAATATTAATACATTATTAATATTAATTAACGTTATGAACAGTAATTTTTGCCACATAAATAGGAATTTAAGTCTTTGTATTTTACAGCAGTGAAAAGGCAGAACACAAATTGAAAACCATTCAAAATATATAATCATGGAAAAATAAATACAAAAAAACCCCCAAAATAAATATACCCAAAAATCCTTTTTTTTTTTTTTAATTTCTGCCAGTAATTAAAACATCTCCTGTGCTCTTCCAGGGATAATTCCAGCATTTCTGAGCATGGAAAACTGGCTCTGCTGGCAGTTTGGGACGTCGGAGTGATGCTGGGACATTTCTGTGCCCTGAAAATGACGTGGTAAGAATTCCCAACGTGACAGCAGCCCGTGAATCACCTGCTCATTATGTCATTAAAATGAGTTTACTGAGTCCAAACATTGGGACAACCTTTGCTCCAAATTTTAAAAAAAGTATAATAAAAAATGTATAAAATAAATACTATTTTTTAAAATTAAAATTAAAAAATGAAAGTTACTAAAAAATCATAAAATTTATACTAAAAAATAAAAAACAAAAATTAATAAAAACAATAAAAATAATAAACTTTATCATAAAATAATAAACTAATAAAATAAAAAATAATACAAAATAATAGTAAAATAAAAATTTAAAATAAAGGGATAGAGGTTGAAACTGAGCAGAGCAGAAGCAGCTGAAGGATTCTTGGGAGAGGTTCTGTGATGATGAAATGAATGAAATTAATTTAATTTAATGAAATTAAAACTTTGAGTTTTTAGCCACGAGGAAACGTGGAATAGAAAAAATAATTACCCAACATAAATGCTGAAAGAATCCAGTCTTTGCTCCGGAAGAGATGTAAAATAAAATTACAAATTACCCAAAATAAATGCTGAAAGAATCCACCCCTTGCTCAGGAGGAAATGTGAAATAAAAGGCAAAAATGACCCAAAATTAATGCTTAAAGAATTTATCAAATACAGATTTAATCTCTAATTTTGACTCTAAAAACCCCCAGATAATTCAATTTTCATCTGTTCTGAGTAGGCTTTTAAGTTTATGGTGAATTCACCCTGCTTAAATCTGCTTTGTTCAAATTAACAGAATGAAAAAAAAAAACATTTAACAAAGCAAAATAACTCAGAAACAATCTGAAGAAACAGCACAACCCAAGTGCTGTTTATATATATTTCTTAAATAATATATATTTTATATTATAAAAATAATAAATAAATAAATAAATATATATAATAAATATATATTATAATATATATATATTACAAATATAAAACCACATATTAAAAAAAATCAAATTATAAGCAAATGACAGCCACTGTACCTCGGCAGGAGCTCTGAGCGTTGAGAGAAGCCACTAAACCCAGCCTTGGGCTAAAGCCTGAGCAGCAGCCCTGGCCCAGAGCTGGGACTTTGGGAGCGCAGAGCTGTCCAGCCTTTCCGGAGGGAATTCGGACATCCAGAGGGGCAGGGCTTGAGGACGAGATCATGGCAATGACTCAAAGCATGATCCAGGGAATAATAATAGGAAGTGAATCAACTGGACAAACGGGTTAACGGGGAGGGCACGCCAGAGTTCAGCTGGGTTTAAGTGCTGCTGGCGTCTTGGCCTTGGGGTTTTTTTTTCACCCCTCATGATCAGAGTCATCGTTTTTAGGGAAATAACCATGCATTCCAGAATGTTCTTCCTGCTCTGGATTTTCCATTTCTGATCTTCCCACTCTGGATTTTTCCATCTTTGTTGTTCCTGCTCTGGACTTCCCCACCTTTGTCCTTTCTGTTCTGGATTTTCCCACCCAGGGAGGATCCTCATTCTTCTCACTCTGGATTTTTACATCTTTATTGTTGCTGCCCTGGATTTTCCCACCGAGGGAGGAGCTTTGTCCTTCCCACTCTGGATTTTCCCATTTTTGTCCTTCCTGCTCTGGATTTTCCCATTTATGGAGGACCTTTCTGCCTTCTTTCCTTGTTTTCTTGAGCCTGGCAGGATCCCAGGGAATCAAAGCCATCAAGCCTTGAGGAATTGCATTCCTCGGCGGAATCGGCATGGATTTCCTCCTGCTTCTCCAAGAATATCCAACCCCAATCCCAATTCTATCCCATTCCCAATCCCATCCCAATTCCAATTCCAATCCCATTCCCAAATCCAGTTCCAGTCCCAATTCCAGTCCCATCCCATACGCAATCCCAATCCAATTCCAATCCCAATTCCAATCCAAATCCCCATCCCAATTCCAATCCCATCCCAATTCCAATCCCATCCCAATCCCAGATGCAGGTGCTGAGATGGAAACAGAACCAGACCAACACCATTCAAATCCGGTTTTGGGGCCATGGTTCAGTTAAAGAGCAGCAGAAACAACAGAAAAACAGATTTGGGGCACCTGGGAGAACTTCCAGGATTATTTCTGATCTTTTCCCATGTAAAAAACAGCGCTGCAAGACTTTTTTAAGGTGAAAATGGGAATATTTGGGATCCAGATAAAGTTTAGAACCCCGATTATTTTTGATCCTTTCCCATGTAAAAAAAAATGGCACTGCAGGAATTTTTTTTAAGGTGAAAATGGAAATATTTGGGATCCAGATAAATTTAGAACCTGCCTTTCCAAATTGGATTTTTTCTCCCACTGGAAGCTGTGAAATATCAGTGTCTGGAAAAAAAAAAATTAAAATTTCTTGTGAAATTTGGTTTCACAAGAAAGAAGGGAGAAAGTAAAAAGGTGGAGGGAAAGAAACTCCCCTGATTTTGACTGATTTTAATCCTTTTTACACTTGATTTATGCTGGATTTTTTTCTGGAAACCCCAAGACAAATGGAAATTTTTAAATTGAGATTTTTTTGGGATGTTCCTCAGTAAAAAAGAGGGTTTTTTTTTTTTTGGATAGTCCTCATTAAATTGAGAGGGTTTGGGATATTCCACATTGAAAATGAGGGGTTTTTGGGGATTTTCCTCCTTAAAATAATTTTTAAATTTTTAAAATATTTAAAATATTCAATCCCTATTAACCAGCTTTGATAGTAAAATATTGACATTTCACAAAACATACCTGAAACCTGATTTAAATAAAATTTAAAAAAAACCCCAACATTATTTTAGAAACTCCTAATTAAAAATTTTTAATTTTCTGGTTTTTCAACCATTTCAATTTTTAATGAAAAAAGAAACCCGGCTGAACGAAGAGCTGCAGCAGAGGCAGGTGAAGAGTTAATTAACTAAAATCTCATTAAAAAGCTCCTGGCACCGGGAACTTTGTGTTCGTGTCTCTCCTCACCCCGCGTTGTGCAATGGAAAAATGCAACAATTATTGCAATTATTGCACAAGGACCAGGCACCAGAGGGAAAAATTCTTCTCCTGTTGCCTCACAGTGGAAAAATCCCTGTAAAATTCCCTCCAGGAATTTATTTTTCCTGGAAAATCGGGATAAAAGAACCTGGAATCGCTCAGAAAATATCCTGAATCTGTTGGGTGATTTCTGTGGATGCTGAAGTGGGAGAGAATAGGGGGAAAAAATTCCTTCAGTGCTTAAAAATGTGTTTTGTTTTGGTTTTTTGGGGTATTTTTTGTTTAAAATGCAGAAATTGTGGAGATAAAACCCTGAGAAAGTCCTGTGGGGTTGCAGGGTTGTAATTAAATATTAATATTTATTAATGTGATATGATATTATGTTATATGATACGTTATAACATGATATTATAACTATTATAATGTAATATAATGTTATATTACATTATATTACATATTACATAATTTTTTGCATTAAAAAAACCCATTTTCTACATTAAAAATCCCATTTAATCCCCATAAACATAAACTATGTAAATAAAAAATTCACTTTTTTACATTAGAAAACCATTTTCTACATTATAAATCCCATTTAATTCCCATAAACATAAACAATAGAAATAAAAAAGGAATTTTTCTGCACCCCTGGTGCTTCACCTGCCAGGCAGCTCTGATGTCACAGGGTTAATCCTTAATGAAAGCATTAATTAAGTTGTTAATTGCTGTTTTTGCAGCGCCCCGGTGATGTCACCTCCCCTCCATGGCTCCACCCTCCTTAAAAATGATGTTTTAATGGATATTCCTCATTAAAAATTCGTTTTTGTGGTTCATTCATTGTTAAAAAATAGGTTTTTTGGGATATTCCTCACGAAAAATTAGGTTTTTGTGGAATATTCCTCATTAAAAAGCAGGTTTTTTTGGGATTTTCCTCATAAAAATGAGTTTTAGTGGGTATTCCTCCTTAAAAAATTAGATTTTTGGGATATTTCTCACTAAAAATGAGTTTTAATGGGATAGTCCTCGTTAAAAATGATATTTTTTTAGGATATTCCTGAGTAAAAATGAGTCTTTTTGCGATATTCCTCCTTAAAAATGAGGTTTTAGGGCCTATTCCTCCTTAAAAATGAGGTGTTTGGGGTAATCCTCAGTAAAAAGGAGCTTTTAGTGGATATTCCTCATTAAAAAGAGGGGTTTTGAGATATTTTTTTGTTAAAAAGTAGGTTTTTTGGGTTATTCCTCATTTAAAAATGAGGTTTTATTGGATTTTCCTCAGTAAAAAGGAGTTTTTATGAGGTATCCCTCAGGGATATGTGATATTTACGGGCTCTCAGCTTGAATTTTGGATTATTTTGTGCTTTCCAAGGGGAAAATTCCAAATATTTTGGCTCCCAGTTGTTCCAGGAGTTCCTTGTGAAGGGAACGATTGGAACCTCAAACCCCAAATTATTTTTATATTATGTCCTTTATATATATTATATTTTATTGAAACCCACAGTGATTTTTTACATTAGATCCCTTTATATATGTATATTTATATTATTTAAACTCACAAGAATGCTGAATATCTATAGATTCTCATAAAAATTAATTTAACCCATGTAAAATTATATAAAAAGTAGATGTAGATATATATTTGTGTGAAAAATGAATATGTTGCATCTATAGTCAATATACAGTATATATAATATAATATATATAATCTATAATATATATATTTGCATATACTTCTTATATAGTTTTAGATATATATATAATTTACATATATCACAAATATATTAAAAATTTATTAAATGTACTAACATAATATATTAAAAATATATTTTAAATTATTTAAGCTCAGGGCATGCTTTTACAAATTGCCAAGCACCTCAGCGATGGATATCGCCCCTTTTATCCTTATTAAAAAATTTTCTTTACATTCTGAGCCCTATTTCTCCCAGCTGGCGTGCCCGGATCACCCTTCCCGCTGGGGCTGTGCCGCGATCCAGAGCCTTTGATCGCGTTATGTCGCGATATGGAGAACGCAGCCCTCGGCTCCCCTCACGGTTTCTGCCACGATTCCCTGGAATAATAATTAGATTATTTAATATAATATATCCAAAATATCTTAACTATATTAACGTAATATATTAAATATATTAACATAATATATTTTAAATTGTTTTAAGCTCAGGGCGCGCTTTTAACAAACTGCCAAGCACCTCAGCGCTGGATATCGCCCCTTTTATCCCTTATAAAACTTTATTTAAATTTTTACATTATGAGCCCTATTTTGCTCACTTACGTGCCCAGATCACCCTTCCCGCTGGGGCCGTGTCGCGATCCGGAGCCTTTGATCGCGTTATGCGGCGATATGGAGCGGGCGGAGCTCGGCTCCCCTCACGGTTCCCGCCTCGGTTCCCCGGACGCGGAAGCCGCGCGCGGCCCCGGAAGCGCTGCCCGCGCCGCCATCTTGGCAGGAGCCGTGAGGAGCCGTGAGGGAGACTTACGGAGCCCTGACGAGCCGCGGCCGCCGCCCGCCCCGCCGCCACCGCGGCCCGGCCGCCGCTCCCCGACCGCTCCCCGGCTCCCAGGAGGGGCCGTCCGGGGCCCGGCGGCCGCGGAGAGGTGAGCGAGGAGGGACGAGCGGGCTGCCTCCGTGTCTCCCCAGCTCCTTTCTGCCGTTTTGCTTCTTCCCCTGTTTTCTCTCTTCTTCCCTCCCTCCCTTTTCCACCTTTCCCTTCTCTCTTTCAGTCCTTCCTTTCCTCGGCTGCCTTCTTGTCTCTCCTTCTTCTGCCCTTCTGCTTCTCCCTCCGTTTTTCCCTCTTATTCCCTCTCCCTTCTCTCAGCCCTTCCTTTCCTGAGCTGCCTTCCTGTTATCCCTCTCCTCCTCTCTGCCGTTCTTCTTCTTCCTCCGTTTTTCCCTCATTTTCCTTCCCTCCCTTTTCCACCTTTCAGTCCTTCCTTTCTTTGGCTGCCTCCCTCTCCTCTCTACTGTTTTTCTCCCTCCATTTTTCCCTTCCCTCCATCCCTTTCCCTTTTCTGTTTCAGTCCTTCCTTTCCTCGACTGCCTTCCTGTCTTGAATTATTAAAGAAATCTGGATATTGATCTAGTACCGATATCCAGCCGTGCCGGACAAAAACCTTTTTAACAGTTTAAAGTTAGAAAGTGTGTGTTTATTTTATTTTGGGTATTCAGTACTTGGATGGATAAAACAGCTCTGTAATTGCTCCCGAATTCACTCTGTAATCTGAGTGATTACAGAGCCCTTTTATCCATCCGAGTATGGAATACCCAAAATCCAAATACATATTCATCATTTTGGTACATTCCATTCCTCGCCTTGTGTGCTGATCTTTAACTAAAATCTTAGCTCTTCTAAAATCTCTGAATTCCTTCAAGTTTATGTTTCAGTCTCCCCTCCTCCTGCTGTTCTGCTTCCCCCAACGTTTTTCCCTTTTCTTCCCTTCCTCTCTTTTCCACCTTTCCCTTCTCCCTTTCAGTCCCTCCTCTCCTTTTCCCTCTTTGCCCTTTTCCTTCCAGTCCCTTCCTTTTTACCTCTCCCTTTCCCCCCTTTTCTTTCTCCTTTCCCCCCTTTTTTCTCCATTTCCCCCTTTTTCTTCCCCTTTTCCCCCTTGTTCTTCCCCCTTGTTCTTCCCCCTTGTTCTTCCCCCTTGTTCTTCCCCCTTGTTCTTCCCCCTTGTTCTTCCCCCTTGTTCTTCCCCCTTGTTCTTCCCCCTTTTCCCCTTGTTTTCTCCATTTCCCCTTGTTTTCTCCTTTTCTCCTCTCCCTTTCATTCCCTCCCTTCCTCTTTCCCTTTTTCCTTTTCTCTTTTTCTCCTCTGTTTTAGTCCTTCCCCCCCTTCCCCCTGCTTTTACTCCCCCTTTTTGAGATATAAATTACTTTGTATGAATAAATTAATTTGTATTGATAAAATAATTTATATTAATATCCCAAGGGATTTCATTATTGATATTTTCCATTATTGTTGCTCTGTAAAAACCCAAATAATTCGGTTTCTGTCCCAGATCCAGCCCACAGAGCGGGTTTTGTGAAGCCCCGCGCAGGCCGGGCTGTGTTGCCGCCGTTAATTAGCGGGCTGGGTTAATTGCGGTGTAATTGGCGCAGATGAGCAGCAGCAGCGCTAAGAGGGCTCCCACCACGGCCACGCAACGGCTGAAGCAGGATTACCTGAGGATCAAAAAGGATCCTGTGCCTTACATCTGCGCCGAGCCCCTGCCCTCCAACATCCTGGAATGGTGGGGATTGGGAATTGGGAACAGGAATTGGGAATGGGAATTGGGGTGGGAATTCGGAATTGGGAATGGGAATTGGGGTGGGAATTGGGGCGGGCTGTTTCTCACTCCTGGAAACTGGGGTTGGAATTGGGGTGGGCTGTTCCTCCCTCCTGGGAATTGGGGTGGGAATTGGTGTGGATTGTCTCTCACCCCTGGGAATTGGGATAGGAATTGGGATGGGTTGTCTCTAACCCCTGGGAATTGGGGTGGATTGTTCCTCACCCCTGGAAATTGGGATGGGTTGTCTCTCACCCCTGGGAATTGGGGTGGGTTGTTCCTCACTCCTGGAATTGGGGTGGGCTGTTCCTCACTCCTGGAATTCCTCACTCCTGGACAGAAGGAGTTTCCCAGGCTTTCAGCTCTGACTCCCTCTCCTGGAGCCGGGGCAGGCAGGGAGGGAAACTGAGGCTGATCCTGAATTTTTTGGGGTTTCTGTGGATTCCCAGTGTTCCATTCCCCTCTTTTCCAGGCACTACGTGGTGCGAGGGCCTGAGCTGACCCCATATGAAGGTATATCCCTACCTGGGCATTTGCATGGAAATTCAGGAATTCCAGAGGGTGGGAAAAGGCAAAATAATCCCACTAAAAACTGGGGAAGAGGTGAAGAAACTGAGGTGCTGCTGTCAATCATTTTTATCTTATCAAGAGCTTTAATAAAATAAAATTTAGGTTAAACTGAAAGCAAATATTAAATTTCTTCATGTTTTACCAAAATATTCTCTAATTTACGACAAAGATAATACCAAAAATTCCCATATTTACAGCAGAAATGTCCTGAGTGATACGGGATTCAAATTTATTTGACCCATTTTTGGGTAGGTGAAGAAATAAAGCAGGAAAATTGGGAATTGGGGTGGGAATTATTAATTAAATATCATTTATTTAGCCCATTTTATGGGTAGTTTAGAAGAAATAAAGCAAGGGGAATTGGGATGGGAATTATTAATTAAGTGTAATTTATTTAACCCATTTTTGGGTAGTTTGGGAGAAGGAATAAATCAGGGGAATTGAGGATGGAAACTGGAATTGGGGATGGGAATTTTTAATTAAATAGAACTCATTTAACCCATTTTGGGCTGGTTTGTAGGTGGATATTACCACGGAAAATTAATATTCCCTCGAGAATTCCCGTTCAAACCCCCCAGTATTTATATGATCACCCCCAATGGAAGGTTCAAGTGCAACACGAGGTAAGGACTCGTTCCCAGAATTCCAGCCATTCCCATCCCAGCCATTCCCATCCCAAATCAAGGAGTCTTTCTCAACATTCCAGCCATTCCCATCCCAAATTAAATACTCCTTCCCAGCATTCCAGCCATTCCCATCCCAGTCATTCCCACCCCAAATCAAGGAGCCCTTCCCACAATCCCAGCCATTCCCATCCCAAATCAAAGAGTCCTTCCCAGAATTCCAGCCATTCCCATCCCATCCATTCCCAACACCCCACCCATTCCCACCCCAACCCCACTGCTGCCTCGGTTTCCCCGGCAGGCTGTGTCTGTCCATCACGGATTTCCACCCGGACACCTGGAACCCTGCCTGGTCCGTGTCCACCATCCTGACGGGGCTGCTGAGCTTCATGGTGGAGAAGGGGCCCACCCTGGGCAGCATCGAGACCTCCGAGTTCACTGTGAGCGCTCCGGGAAATCTGGGAATCCGGGATAGCCAGGGGGACATCCCAGGAAATTTGGGATATCTCGGGGGCGGGGGGAAATCCCACAAAATTTGGGATATCTCTGGGGTAAATCCCAGGAAATTCAGGATAGCCACAGGGAAAATCCCAGGAAATTCAGGCTAGCCGGGGGGAGGGGGGGGAATGCCAGAAAATTTGGGGTATCTCTGGGGGAAAGTCCCAGGAAATTCAGGATTTCTTCGGGGGGGAAATCCCAGGAAATTTGGGATATCTCAGGGGGGAAATCCCAGAAAATTTGAGATATCTCAGGGGGTAAATTTTAGTGAAAAATGCTCAATTTTAAGAGCCAAAATCCACAATCCTGGCTGAGATTCCCACAAAACCCTGATCCCACAGGATCAAAAATTAAGATCATTTTCTGCCTATAAACCTCAATTTTAGTCAAAAATTCTCCCAAAAATGAAGTTTTAAATGTGAAAAACCACTTGGTTTTGCACCCTTCTTTTGGGAAATGTGGCATGGGATTGGAATAAATGGATTTAATTTTCAAGGAATTGCTGAAAACTCTGATTTTTCTCCCCAGAAAAGGCAGCTGGCTGCACAGAGCTTAGCATTTAATTTAAAAGATAAAGTCTTCTGTGAGCTCTTCCCTGAAGTGGTGGAGGTAAGAAAATCTTCATTCATTGTTTGTTTTTCCTAAAAAATTGAGTTTTGGTGAAACAAAATTTCCCAAATCGCCACAAATTCTGTTTTTCCTCTGAATTTCCTCTCCGCTTTTCCAGGAAATGAAGCAAAACCCCCCAAATAATCCAAACTTTTTTCTTCTCCTATGCAGGAACTCAAACAAAAACACCCAAATCCCCCCAAAATTCCATTTCCGACCCAATTTCCTCTCTCTTTTCCAGGAAATGAAGCAAAAGCCCCCAAATTTCCACTTTCGAACTCAATTTCCTCTCCCCTTTTCCGGGAAATGAAGCAAAAGCACGCAAATCATCCCAATTTCCATGGAATTTTCTGTTCCCCCCATGCAGGAACTCAAACAAATCCCCCCCACAATTCCATTTCCCACCGAATTTCCTCTCCCCTTTTCCAGGAAATCAGACAAAAGCCACCAAATCCCTCCAAAATCCCATTTCCCACGGAATTCCCTCTCTGTTTCCCAGGAGATGAAGCAGAAGCAGAAAGCCCAGGAGGAGCTGAGCTCCAGACCTCCCTCGCTGCCCCTGCCCGACGTGGTGCCGGACGGGGACGCACACCTGGGGCACAACGGCCACCCCCTGGCCCACGGGCCCGCGGCCCCGCTGCCCGGGCATGCCAGGGGGCTGCAGCAGCCCCCCAGGAACCACGGACTCTTGGGGGGAGCCCTGGCGAACTTGTTTGTCATCGTGGGCTTCGCCGCCTTTGCCTACACAGTCAAGTACGTGCTGAGGAGCATAGCCCAGGAGTGACGTCCCGCAGGAGACCAAATTTTACTGGGGTTTTGGGGGGATTTGGGCTCTTCGGGGGCAATTTTGGGGTTTTTTTGGCCTTCCCGGGTGGAATTGTGGTGGAATTTTGGGTTGGGAATCAAAGCGTTGTTGGGGAACCACCTTGGTTTGTAGAGTTCTCCTCCATCTGTGGTTTCAACATTGAAGATCTTCAGCAAATTTTGACTCCATTGAGTTTTCAATCCAAGATGAGTGGGACACTTTGGAATGGGACACTTTGGGTGGAGAATTTGGGGACTTTTGCCCTTTTGGGGTTCTAGTGGGGTTTTGGGTTCTGCTGCTCATCGTGGGCTTTGCCGCCTTCGTCTACACAGTCAAGTACATGCTGAGGAGCAGAGCCCAGGAGTGACGTCCCGCAGGAGACCAAATTTTACTGGGGTTTTGGGGGGATTTGGGCGGGGGATTCTGGGGGTTTTGCCCTGCCTGGGTTGTGGTGGGACTTGGGGAACCACCTTGGTTTGTGGAGTTCCTCCATCTGTGGTTTGAACATCAAAGATCTTCAGCAAATTTTGACTCTGTTGAATTTTCAATCCAAGATGAGTGGGACACTTTGGAGTGGGACTTTTTGGGTGAAAAATTTGGGATTTAGCCCTCCTGGGGTTTTTTGGGTTGGGATGTCAAAAGGATTTTTGGGGAACCACCTTGGTTTGTAGAGTTCTCCTCCATCTGTGGTTTGAACATCAAAGATCTTCAGCAAATTTTGACTCGGTTGAGTTTTCAGTCCAGGATGAGTGGGACACTTTGGAACGGGACTTTTTGGGTAGAAAATTTGGGATTTTTTTGTCCTTCCTGGGTTGTTTTGGGGCTTTGGGTTCTGCTGCTCATCGTGGCCTTCACCCTTTTCCTTCAGTTCTTTAAAAAAAAAAAATCAAAATTCCTTTGGGATCCAGGAAATATTTTTGTCCCCAAATCCCAACCCCAAAATTCCTTTGGGAATTTTTGAAGCAAAACCCCAGATTTGCTCCCTTTTCCTTCAATTCTTAAAAAAAAAAAAAAAAAAAAAATTCCTTTGGGATTTGGAGGAAGATTTGGGACTCCAGGATTTGGGAATGGAATTTTTAATTCCCATTTTTTTGGGGGTTGATTTGTCTTTTCCTGGGAATTCAATTTTTCCTCATCCCAAAAAATCCCAAAAAAAATGAAATTTCAGCCTCTCCCTCAGGAGAAAATCTTGGAATAAACCCTTGAAATTCCAGGTTGTCATTCCATGGATTTAAAAATTTGGGAATTTTTCCACAGATTCTTCCATTTCATAAAAATTCCTGAATTTTTGGGGGGATTTTTTCCATTTTTTCCTGGAGATTCCTGAATTTTCCCAGGAGTGGAAATGGTGTAAAGTGATTTATTCCAAATAAAATTCCATCAAAATCGACTTTGTGGGGGTTTTTTTTGGGAATAAAATTCTATGAGGGGAAAAACTGGGATTGGGAATGTTTCTGTTGCTGAATAAAATGATGAAAAAATTTGATTTTTCCTGATTTTTTTCCCTTTTTCCAGTCGGATTTTCCAGCTTTTCATGGAGGTCTTGATGTTTTTCCTTCATTGTTCATAATTCCAAAAATTCCTGGGAATTTTGGGATATTTTTTGATTATTCCTCCTGATAATTATTGGTTTTAATTAAGATTTAATTATTACTATTAAATTAGAAATGCTGAATTATAAGATATATAAGTTTATATAATAAATATAATTTCTATAATAAATATATTTTCTATAATAAATATATTTTGTATCACTAAATATCTATAAAATATAAATAAATATTGTATGTATAATGTATAATAATATGATTTTATAGAATTAAAATACAAAATAAAAAGAAATATAACATAAATACAAAATATAAATATCTATAACGTTACATGTAATTTATATAATATATAATTGTAAATGAATACATGAAATATAAATATAAACATCAGATCTTTAATATAATATAAAATAAAAATACATATATAATTTGTGTATAATATAATTCGATATAGCTGTAATATGAAATATAAATATATTTTTATAATATAAAATATAAGTATAGTGTGTATAATATGTATATGTATAATATGCATAATTGTATCTCTTTTATTAAATAAAAGTATTTTATAATATAAATATAAAATACAAGCAAATATCTATAATTTATATACAGTATAATTGTATTTAAAGTATATTTTATGAAATGTAAATATAAAATATATATCATTTGTATATAATATAATTTTATATAAATATATTTTATATACTTTCATAGAATATATATATTTTTTTGTATAATATAATATAAAATATAAGTATAAATATATAAAATTATATATATTGATTGTAGATACCATTTATTTATTAATCTAATGTATAATTAATTATTAATTAATAATTTTATTAATATTAATTTAATTTATAATTACAGGCAATTAATAATTAATTCATCAGGGAGATCAAGTGTGCCCTTTTCATGGAGAAAAAATTGGATTTTTAAATCCCTTTTCCAGCAGAAAAATCACTACAAAAAAGGGAATTAATTCCATTAAAACTCCCGGAATTCCCAAATTCCCGTAATTTCTTTTGGGAACGCCGGCGTCTCATGAGCATTAATTAGGAATTGTTAAGGGGAGAAATTTGGGAATTTTCCCCGGGAATTTCGGGGTTTTTTTTGGGATCCACCACGAGGTGGCGCCGCGGGGTCGGGAATTGGGAAATTCCTGGAAAATCCCAGCTGGGAATGTTCCCAAATCCCCGAAACCCCAAAATCCGGGAATTTTGGGGCTCTGGGAATTCCCTGGGAATGTTTATGGATTGCCACAAAATCCTGGAATTTCAGGGCTCTGGTAATTTGGGAATTCCCTGGGAATGTTTTTTTATGGTATTAAAATTGGGAAGAGGATTTTTGGGAAGATCCCAAAATTGGGAAAAGGATTTCTGGGATTTTCCTAAAAATCGTGATAAGGATTTTTGGGATGATCCCAAATTTGGGAAGGGGATTCTTGGGATTTTCCCAAAAATTGGGAAAAGGATTTTTGGGATGATCTCCAGGCCCTCCAAAAAGGATTTTTGGGATGATCCCAAAATCGGGATAAGGATTCCAGTTTTTTCCCATTCCTAAATTATAAATTTTCCACTTTTTCCCCTTCCCAAATTCCAATTTTCCCCCGTTTTTTCCCTTTTCTAAATACAATTTTTTTTCTTTTTTTCCCCCTTCCCAAATTCCAGGCTTTTCTGGAGATGTTACCAAAAAAAAAAAAAAGGGAAAAGAAAAAAAGAATTTTCTGGGTTTGGGGTTGGGAGTGTTTTGTGCGTCAGTTTCCCCGAGTTCCCTAAAAATTGGGAAAATGGGACAGGGAACTTCCCAAACTGGGAATAAACTGGGAATTCTGACACATCCAAACTGGGAATTCTGCCCCATCCAAAATGGGGTTTATCCCAAGGCAGGGATGTCCAGCCCTGCTGGGTGCTCCAAATTCCCAAGAAAATCTGATTTTCCTGGGATAAAATCCCAAAAAAAACCCTGATTTTCCCGGGGAAAAAAATTTTTAAAGAATCTTATTTTCCTGTAATAAAATCCCCCCCAAAATCTGATTTTTCTGGGATAAAATAATAATAAAAAAAAATCTGATTTTTTTTTCTGGATTAAATCCCCAAAAAAGCCGATTTTCCTGGGATAAGCAGGGGCGGGAGCGGGAATTTTTGGGATTGTGCCGAGAGGCGCTGCCGGCTCCTCCTTTTTTCCCTTTTTTTTTTTTTTTTCCCCCTGTTTTTTTCCCTCCTCCGCCTCCCGGAGCCGATGGAAACTCCTCCGGGCAGGCGGAGGAGCCGGAGCTCGGCAGGGCTGGAATTCCCCCCGGGATTCGGGATTTGGGATTTAGGATTTGGGCTTCGGGCTTCGGAATTTGGGGTTCGGTGTTCGGGATTTGGGATTTGGGGTTGCCGTGGGAAAGCCGGGCCCTGCTGCCCCATGAGCGCTCCGGGTCCTGCGGGGTTTTTTTAGGGAAAAGCGAGAAAAAAGAGGAAAAACTTCGGGGAAAACTTCGGGAAAACTTGGGGAAAACTTCACCTGCTTCTCCCGGAGCCGGGACACGGGCGGGGGTTCGCTGCCCCCGGAGCTTTTGGGGTCTGGTGTTTTGGGATTTGTTTTTTGGGGTGTGACTGATTTGGTTTTTGGGGTTTGTTTTTGCAGTGCGAGGAATTTGGGGGTTGGGGTGTGACTGATCTGTTTTTTGGGGTTTTGTTTTTGGGGTGTGAGGGGTTTGGGATTGTTTTTGGGTTGGGAAGGATTTGTTTTGGGGGTTTGTCTGGGATTTGTTTCTTGGGGTGTGAGGAATTTGGTTTTTGGGGTGTGACGGATCTATTTTGGGTTTCTTTTTTGCGGTTTGTTTTTTCCAGTGTGAGGAGTTTGGGGTTTGTTTTTTGGGGTGTGAGTGGTTTGGGGTTTGAGATTGTTTCTTGGTACTGCGTCTCCACATCTTGGGGTTTGTTTTTTGGGATTTGTGTTTTGGGTTTGTTTTTTGCAGTGTGAAGAATTTGGAGTTTGGGGGGTGAGAGACCTGGTTTTTGGGGTTTGTTTTTTGGGCTGTGAGAGGTTTGGGTTTTGGGATTTGTTTTTTGGGGGGGTTGTTTTTTGGGATTTGTTTTTTGGGGTGTGAGGAGTTTGCTTCTTGGGGGGTTGTTTCTTGGGGTGTGAGGCATTTTTTTGGAATGTGAGGGTTTTTTTGGGGGTGTGAGGCATTTTTTTAGGATGTAAGGAATTTTTTTGGGGTGTAAGGAATTCTTTTGAGATGTGAGGGATCTGTTTTTTGGGATCTGTTTTTTTGGGTCATAAGGAATTCTTTTGGGGTGTAAGGAATTCTTTTGGGGTATAAGGGATTTTTTGGGGGGTGAGGCATTTTTTGGAGTGTGAGGAATTTTTGGGACTGAGGGCTGGGCTTTGTCCTTCCAATGCCGGCGATTCCCGGGATTCCGAGTCCCGGGAATCCGAGGGAAGCTCGAGGATTCCTCCCAGGAACGGACGGGGCGGATTCCGGGCTCTGAGCCGAGCCTGGCTGAGCCCCGCCTGAGCTCGGGCTCAGCCCGGCAGCATTCGGGACCTTTAAAAACGGTCATAAACCTGATCCGGGGTGGGGGGCTGAGAGCATTTAAAACCAGTTTCAAGCCCCATTTGGGGGTACAGAGTAAAACCAGTTTTAAATCCGAATTGGGGTCAAGAGGGGCAGAGCAAAACCAGTTTCAAGCTCCATTTGGGGGGCAGAGTAAAACCAGTTTTAAGCTCGATTTTGGGCAGCACTGTGCGCCTTTAAAACCAGTTTCAAGACCCCTTTGGGGGGATGGAGTAAAACCAGTTTCAAACTGGATTAAGGGGGTCAGAAGGGGCAAACTAAAACCAGTTTCAAGCCCCGTTTTGGGGGCAGAGTAAAACTGGTTTCAAGCCAGATCTGGGGGCACAGAGTGCCTTTAAAACCAGTTTCAAACCAGATTTAGGGAGGCAAAGTAAAACCAGTTTCAAGCCCCATTTGGGGGGCAGAGTAAACCAGTTTTAAATCTGATTTGGGGTCAGAAGAGTCAGAATACAACCAGTTTTAAACTCAAATTTGGGGGCGCTGAGTGCCTTTAAAACCAGTTTTAGGCTGGGTTTAGGGCAGAGCAGAAATCTCCTCTGGGATTTCTGGGAAGCTCCTCTCAGGGATCCAGAATTCCAAAGAAATTCCAAAAAATTCCAAATAAATTCAACACAAATTCCAAAGAAATTCCAAACAAATTAATCTCCAGCTTTTCCATCCCAAGGAGCTCTTAGAACCTTCTGGAATTCAAATTTTTTTGGACAAAAATCCAAGATTTTTTTTTTAATCCTGAGGGATTTTGCACCTGGCTGCTTGGATACCTCTGAAATTTGGATTTTTTTTGACACAAATCTGCTTGGATCCTTCTCTCCTGTTTAATTCTGGATTTATTTTTGAGACAAATCTGGTTTTTATTGCTCCTGAAATTTGGATTTTGCATCTGGCTCCTTAATCCTGACCTAATAAATTTGGGGTTTTTTTGGACACGAATCTGGATTTTTTCGGTCCTGCAGAATTTTCCTTCTGGCTCCTTGATCCTGACCTGGTTAATTCAGATTTTTTCAGGATTTTCTTGGTCCTGAAGCATTTCCCCCGTGGCTCCTTGTCCCCTTCCCAGCTAATTCAGATTTTTCAGACACAAATCCAATATTTTTTTGGTCCTGGATCATTTCTCCCCTGGCTCCTTGACCCAGACCTGGCTAATTTGGATTTTTTGGGACATGAATCGGATTTTGCTCCCTCCTGGATCATTCCCCACTGGCTTCTTGAACCTGACCAGATTACTTCTGATTTTTGGGACACAAATCTGATTTTTCTTCCTTCCTGGATAATTTTCCCCCTGGCTCCTTGACCCAGACCTGGTTAATTTGGATTTTTTGTGATACAAATCCAATTTTTTGGTCCTGAAGCATTTTATACCTAGCTTGTTGATCCTGACCTGGTTAATTCGCATTTTTGGGACACAAATCCAGGTTTTTTTGGTCCTGAAGCATGTCCCCCCTGGCTCTTTGACCCAGACCTGGTTAATTTGGATTTTTTGGATACAAATCCAGGTTTTTTTTTTTGGTCCTGGATCATTTCTCCTCTGGCTCCTTGACCCCAACCCAGCTAATTTGGATTTTTTAGGACACAAATCCAGGTTTTTTTGGTCGTGGATCATTTCCCCGCTGGCTGCTTGAATCTGATCTGATTACTTCTGATTTTTGGGACACAAATCCAATTTTTTTGGTCCTGAAGCATTTTCTACCTGGCTCCTTGACACCTTCCAGGCTAATTTGGATTTTTTGGGACACAAATCCAGGTTTTTTGACCCTGGCTCCTTGACCCCAACCCAGCTAATTTGGAATTTTGGGACACAAATCCAATTTTTTTGGTCCTGAAGCATTTTCTACTTGGCTCCTTGACCCCGACCTGGCCAATTTGGATTTTTTGGGACACGATCTGGACTTTGTCTCTGCCGCCATGCTGGTGGGATTTTGGTGGCTGCTGCTGGTGCTGCTGTGGCCCCAGCTGTGCCCCCGGCTGTGCCCCTGCGCGGTTGCCGCGGCCAGGAGGGACAGGAAGGGCCAGAAGGAGCTCCCGGAGCTGCCCGACACCTCCCTGGGCAACAGCGAAGAGCGGCCCCAGGTGGGTGCTGGGATCATTCCCGGATTTATTCCTGGATTTATTGGGAATTTCCGGCCTTTTCTGAGTTGATTCCATGCTCGTTTCTTCAATTTCCTTTGGCTTTTTATTTAATTTTCAAGGTTCCTCATGTTAGGAACAGCCAAGAACTCCCAAGGTGGGTTCTGGGATCATTTAGGCATCATTCCTGGATTTATTCCTGGATTTGTTCCTGGATTTATTGGGATTTTCCTGCCTTTTCTGAGTTGATTCCATGCTCATTTCTTTAATTCCCTTTGGTTTTTATGTTTAATTTTGATGGTTCCTCATGTTGGGAACAGCAGAGAATTCCCAAGGTGGGTTCTGGGATCTGCCTGGGCTGGATTTTTTCCATCTTTTGAACATCTGGGTGGGTTTTCCATGGAATCTAAAGATCTCTGAGGGACTTTTGAAGCTCTGGATCCCTCAAGGACACCCTCACGAGCAGCAGGATCAGCCCGGGTTGGGTTTTTTGGACCCTCTGGGGGAGGTCAGTCCATGATCCTTGTTCTGGCGTGTCCCCAGCTCCCGGAGCCCGCGGAACCGCGCATCACGGACCCACGCAGGACCTGGATCTCCTTTGTGCACCGCCCTGATGACGGCAGCGGCTCCAAGAGGAGGTGCAAAGGCAGAGACAAAAAATTGGTGGGATTTCCTCTCCATATTTCCCTTCCTTTTTCTCATCCTTTCCATTTTTGGGGGTTTAATTTCTCCATTTTTGGAGAAGTTTGACACTTCTTGCTTTGGCAGAATTTTGAACCAGCCGCTCTCAAATGGAGTCTTTTTTTGGGGTTATTTCCCCGCTCATTAAAAATAAAATCCAATTTTTTTCTCCTTCCGAGAGATAACGCCTAAGCATCCCAAAGGATAAATTAATCAAGGTGTGGACAAGTGGTTTATTTCAAATTAATGAGCTGAGCGACAGCTCATTAATCATGCGGCACTTTTCATCTGCTGCTTGGACACTCTTAGATTCTTTTCATTAATTTCATTATTTGAGGAATTTTTTGCATCTTCTGAGCAATCTGGGCAGGTTTTCCAAGGAATTTTAGAGAATTATCGGAGGAATGGGAATCCCAACAACTGGAAAAAGATCTCTGAGGGACTCTCAGAGATTCTGGCTCTTCCTGATCCTTCAGTGCCCTCCAAAAATGATCAGGAATTTTCTGGGAATGAACCCCCTGATGTTGCTGATGTCCCTGGACGAATTTTTGGGTTTTAATCCCAAATTTTTCTTTGTTCCCTCAGCGAGGTCTGGTTGGACCTCCAGGGCCTCCTGGACCTCAGGGGCCTCCAGGAGCTCCTGGGGCTGAAGTCACCAAGGAAATTCTTCTGCAGGAGTTCAAGGAGATCTTAAAAGGTAAAAGATTTTAAAAAGTCAAAGATTTTCCAGGGATGTTAAAGGTGAAAGGTATTAAAGGCTGGAGGAGTTTTGTTTTTCAGGACAAATCTTCACCCTCAGGCATTCCCCTGGCAGCCAAAAACATTCCCCTAAGTGCTGCTGGGCTTCAGCTGAAGAGCCAAGTGCAGAATTCCAAGAGCACGTTCATGGTTTCATATGCCAGGCCCTTAAATTAATATTTTATTTCATTTTATTCAATTTTATTCCATTTTTTCCCCTCAGAAGCCATGGAGCACCAAGCCTCCCTGGCCATTTCAGCTCAGCCCAGCCAGCTCCCAATGCCCCTGGAGGAGGTTCCATTCACTGGCTAGGCCCTTAAATTTAGATTTTATTCTATTTTTTTTTTTTTTTTCCATTTTATTCCATTTTTTTTCCCATTTTCCCCTCAGAAACCATTGAGCACTGAGCCTCCCTGGCCATCTCAGCCCAGCCCAGCCAGCTCCTGCTGCCCTGGAGGAGGTTCCATCACAGAATAAGGAATGGCCAGGCCCTTGAATTTAGATTTTATTCAATTTTATGTCATTTAATTCCATTTTATTCCCTTTTATTTAATTTTATTTCCTTTTTCCCCTCAGAAATCATCAGGCACTGGGCCTCCCTGGCCATTTTGGCCCATCCCAGCCAAGCCCCTGCTGTCCATGGAGGAGGTTCCATCACAGGAACAGGAATGGCCAGGCCCTTAAATGAAGATTTCACTTCATTTTATTTCATTTAATGCCATAGTATTCAATTTTATTTCATTTTATTCCCTTTTTCCCTCAGAAACCATTGAGCACCGGGCCTCCCTGGCCCTCCCAGCCCAGCCCAGCCCGCTGCCCCTGCTGCCTCTGGCCCTGGCCGAGGCTGGGTCCCAGCGGCGGCTGCTGGAGGCGTTCCACTGCAAGCTCAAGGGCCACGTGCTGGTGGACAAGAAGACCTTGGTGGAACTCCAGAACTTCCAGCTGGTGAGGAATTCCCGGCTCCTCCTGGTGGGAATCTGCTCCTGCTGGGCTCTGTGGGGCTTCTCTGAGGCTGAAAGGAAGAGAGAAATCCATGGGAAGGTGTCCAAAGGAGGGCCAGAAGTGGTTCCACCTTGGATTCCTCTTAAATCTGATATTCCAGAGGTTCTATCCCTGATGGATCCATCTCAGATCCCCTTTTTAAATTGGATATCCCAGAGGTTCTATCCCTGATGGATCCATCTCAGATCCCCTTTTTCAATCAATTTTTCCATTATTTCCCAAATTTTGGCAGCCTGCCTTGGCAGCCAGGCAGGATCAGCCCTGAGGCGTGGGCAGGGCAGCAGGCAGAGCCGCTGCCTCATTAATCAGCAGGAAAATGGGACTAATTAAGGCATCCCATCCCAGGCTGCTGCTTCCGTGCCTCAGGGCTGAGGTGCCCAACTCATTCCCGGTTTTTCCTGGCTTGGAGCTGCCTGGTGCCAGGACAGGGAGAGTCGGGTTTGGGTTTGTGCCCTCTGGAAAGGGGGATGGATTTGGGATCAGCACAGGGATTTGGGAGCAACTCAGGGATGGATTTGGGAGCAGCACAGGGACGGATTGGGGATCAGCAGAGGGATGGATTTGGGAGCAGTTCAGGGATGGAACTGGGATCAGCACAAGGGTTTGGGATAGGAACAGGGATTTGGGCCCAGCCCAGGGATAGATTTGGGCCCAGCCCAGGGATGGATTTGGGATCAGCATAGGGATTTAGGCTCAGCTTGGGGCTGCAGCTCTGCTCTCTCCCCAGCCCGTGGCCAGGGGTGCGTTCCTGCGGGGCTCGGGCCTGAATGTGGCCACCGGGCGCTTCACCGCCCCCGTGGGCGGCATTTACCAGTTCTCAGCCAACGTGCACCTCGGTGAGTGCCACCCCAGGAACCCCAAAACCCAGAGAACCCAAAATCCCAGAGAACCCCAAACCCCGGATACCCCAAAAACCCCAACCCTCCAGAGACCCCACACCACGGAGACTCCAAACCCCAGAGACCCCAAACTCCGGAGATCCCCCAGAAAACCCCTGGATATTCCAGAGGTTCTGCCATGGATGGATCCACCTGGGATCTCCTTCTTAAGTCTGATATTCCAGAGGTTCTATCCCTGATGGATCCACCTCGGACCCGTTGCCTTTGGCTCCATCAGCCATGCAGGAATCTCTGGCACCTCCTGCAGCCCCCCCAGCACTGGTGGTGTCCCTGGGGATCCCGGAGGCCGGGATTTGTGGGAATGCTGACATTTTCCCACTGTTTTTCCCAGAGCACAGCGAGCTGCGGGGCAGAGCGGCGCTGCGGGCACGGGACAGCGTGCGGGTGTTGGTCTGCATCGAGTCCCTGTGCCACCGGCATGCGTGAGTCACCCCGGGCCTCCCGCGCTTCCTTCCTCCCTTTTTCCACATTTCCCCAAATTCGGCCAACCTGGGAGATTCCTTCCCTCGAGGGGGATTTTGGGAGCTTCTCCAAGGAAAGGGGTTGGTTGAAAAACTTGTTGGGATTTGCAGGGATTCACCACTGGGAAAAAATAATTTAAAAAAATATAGCAAGGAGGAAAGGGGTTGGTTTAAGTGGGAAAACAAGGAAAAGCCAGGCTTAAAACTGAGTTTAACTGGGCTTGTGCTGAGTGGTGGGGGTTTTGGATTTTTTTTTTTTGTGGATCATTTTTTTTTGTGGGATCATGCAATTGTGGAGTTGTGGAATCAGGGAATAATGGAATTGTGGAATTATGGAATTGTGGAATTGTGGAATTATGGATTTAGGGAATTGTGGCATTATGGATTTATGGAATTGTGGAATTATGGATTTATGGAATTATGGAAAGGACCTTAAAGCTCTTCCAACTCCCCAGGCCAGGGCCCCCAAACTTCCACCATCCCCACCTGGCCTTGAACCCTTCCCAACATCCCAAATCCTGCCTAAGTTCCCCTTTCCTGCTCCAACTGCTCCGAATTCCAGGGAATTCCAGGGAAAGGGAGGGAGACTCCTCCTTGCCCCCCACCTATGGGGATTTATTCCGTTCATTTCCCATTTTCAGCTCCTTGGAAGTCATCGCTGGCCTGGAGAGCAACAGCAAAACCTTCACCATTTGTGTCCAGGGCTTGCTGCAGCTGCAGGTGAGGCCCTGGAAATCAGGAATTTCTGTCTGGAAATTGGGAATTTCTGCTGGAAATTGGGTATTTCTGCTTGAAAATTGGGAATTTCTGCTTGAAATTTGGAAATTCTGCCTGAAAATTGGGAAATTCTGCCTGCAAATTGGGAGTTTCTGCTTGAAAATTTGGAATTTCTGCTTGAAAATCAGGAATTTTCAATTTCAATTTCCCTGAAAATGGGAAATTTCTGCTTGAAATCAGCAATTTCTGCCTGAAAATCTGAAATTCATGCTTGAAATCAGGAATTCCTGCTTGAAATTGGGAATTTCTGCTTGAAATTGGGGATTTCTGTCTGGAAATTGGGAATTTCTGCCCCAAATCTTCTTCACTTTCTCCTTCTTCCGGTTCTTCTTTCCTCCTTCTCCTCCTTCACCTTCTTCACCTTTTCCTTCTCCTTCTTCTTCTTTTCCTTCTTTTTCTCCTTCTCCTTCTCCTCCTTCTTTCCCTCATTCTTTCCCTCATTCTCCTCCTTTCTCCTCCTTTTTTTCCTCCTTTTTCTTCTCCCTTTTCTCATCTCTTTCTTCTTCTCCTTCTCCTTCTTCTTCTTTCTCCTTCTCCTTCTTTTCCTCCTTCTCCACCTTCTTCTTCTCCTCCTTCACCTCCTTCTTCACTTTCTTCTTATTTTTCACTTTCTTTCCCTTCTTCTTCTCCTCCTCCTCCTTTTTCTCATTCTTTTTCTCCTTTTCTCCTTCTTTCTCTCCTCCTTCTTCTCCTTCTTCTCCTTTTTTCTTTTCCTTCCCCTCCTTCCCCATGGCTTTGGCTGATTTTGTGCACTTGGATAAAAAACTCCGCACTGCGGTCCGTGGGTGGTTGGTTATTGGGTTAAAACTGAAACCAATTAGGTGCCATCTGTTAATTGGACAGTTTATCCGTAAAAGGCCATGCAGGGAGCGAGACACGGCTCCGTTTTTGGTCGGCTGCAGAACTCAGAGTTTATAAAACCCTAACGCAGATAAAAACCCATAAACATCAGAGCCCAAACACGAAATTCCATCCCACGCGTTTCACCCCAACCCTGGCAAGCGTGGAGCTGAAACTCACCAATAAATCCCACTGGAAGGGGATTTTCCCTGGGATTTTTCCTAAGGAATGTGCCTGAAATTCCCGTTTTTCCCCCCGTTTTCCCTGCAGGCTGGCCAGTACGCCTCCGTCTTCGTGGACAACGGTGCCGGCGCCGCCGTCACCATCCAGAGCGGCTCTGATTTCATGGGAATGCTGCTGGGAGCATAGCAGCCATCCCAAAAAATCCCCAATTTCCAGATTTTGGACTGAAAAAAAAAAAGCAAACCCTCTTTGACCTTGAACCTTGGCCCTGTCCCTACGGAATTCCAAATTATGAATAAACCCAAAAAATCTCCTCACTTTGACCTTGAACCTGCTCCCTGTTCCTGCAGAATTCCAAATGATGAAAAAAAAACCCCAAAAAATCACCCTGGAATATTTAATTATTTAATATATTCCATTTCATATATTTTTTATTCCATTCTTTCACTGGATTTCACTTGGAACCAGCACGGGTTTGGGGTTTTTTTTGGGGGGGATTGATTTGGGTTGGAAATGAAGGATTGAGATGGGAAATATCAGAAATAAATCTGTGACTCTTTTCTGTGGGCTGGGGAGGAAGGGGACGAGGATTTTCCGGCAAAATTCCTTTTTCCAGAGGGTTGGAAAGGGCTTGGATCCTCAGAATTGGGTGTGTTTCACCAAGAAAATGCTGGATTTTCCTACAATCCCAGGCTTGAACTCTTCAGTTCGGGTCATTTATAGCAAAATAAAATTATATATATTGTATTTATATAATTGCACCTCTAATGATATCTTTTATAATTTGATTTATTCTATATATTATATTTAAAATATATAATATATAGAATTATATGGATCTATATGGTTTTCCATAGTTTCTACGGCGAGTTTTCCCAGTTTTATTCACTCTCCCTCAAATCCTGGAATCCCAAATTCTCCCCCAAACCAGGAATCCTGGAATCCCGAATTCTCCCTCAAATCCTGGAATCCCAAACTCCTTCTGAATCCCAGAATCCCAAACTCCCTCTCAATCCTGAAATCCCAAACCCAAGAATCCCAAACCCTCCCTTAATCCCAAAATCCCAAACTCCCCCTCAAACCCAAGAACCCTAAAGTTTTCCCCAAACCAAAAATCCCAAACTCTCCCCCAATCCCAAACTCTCCCTCAATCCTAAAATCCCAAACCCTCCCTCAATCCCAGAATTCTCCTTTCCATCCCAAATCCTCCATTCCATCCCCAAATCCTCCTTTTCATCCCCAAATCCTCCTTTTCATCCCAAATATTTTCTCGGGAATCTGGGCTTGGAGCTGTGGGGGGCCCTCAGAATTGCAGGAATTCTCCCAAAATTCCCCCCCTTTTTTTTCCCCTCTTTTTTTTCCCAGCTGTTTTCTTTTCCTCCCGGGTTTTGGTTTCTTTTTGGGACTTTGATCTGCAGAGTGTGAGAGGAGGGGCGGTCACGGGAGATTGGATTCCCAAAAAAAACCCCCCAAAAAAACATGGAAAGAGGGAAAAAACCAGGAAAGGAAAAGTGGAAAATGGGAATCTGAGCAGGGGCATTCCAGAGCTGGAATCCCACATTTTCCCCACATTTATCCCACTTTTATCCCACATTTATCCCACTTTTATCCCACATTTTCCCCACATTTTGGGGCAATTTGGATTTTTCTGAGTGGATTTGGAGCAGTTTGGATTTTTCTGTGTGAACTTTGGGGCAATTTGGATCTTTCTGAGTGGATTTTGGGGCAGTTTGGATTTTTCTGTGTCCCAATCCAGGTGGATTTTGGCAATTTGGATTCCATCCCTTCCCCTCCCTCCTGCAGGAGCCGCTCCCCGGGACAAACCCAAACCTCGGGAACCGCAGATTTGAGAAACTTTTGGGATTCTCCTCGTTTTTTCCATCACTTCCACCCAAAAACCGCCAGCCTGGGCACGGAGCCAGGAGTGAAATAATCCAAATTTTCTCTGGGAAGGGCTGGAATTCCCGGCAGGCGCCAGGGAATCGTCCCGGCCCGGCGGCTCCCGGGGATGGATGGAATCCTGCTCGGCTGGGGCCGGGAATTCCCTCCTTTTTCCCCCTCTTTTATCCTCCTTTTTTCCCTCTTTTAGCCTCATTTTTCCCTCCTTTTTCCTCCTTTTTTCCTCCTTTTTACCCCTCATTTTTCCTCATCTTCCCCTTCTTCCCCCCTTCCCCTATTTTTCTTTCTTTTTTCCTCTTTTTCTCCTCCTTTATTTTCTCCTTTTTTCCACTTTTCCCCCTCCTTTTTCCCTCCTTTTCCCCTCCTTATTTCCTACTTTTTCCTCCTTTTTTCCCCCCCTTTTCCCTCCTTTCCCCACCTGTCAAACCCAGGAATTTCCAATGAGTTTAATCCGCCTGGAATTCTCTCAGCACCTGTCTGGGAGCTTTTCCCTTTCCCCCAGAATTTTTTTCCTGACTCCCAGCAAAAACTCCCAATTTTTTTGCATTCAAACCTGTGGGCAGGGATAAACCCCCCCTTTTCCAAACTTCCGGGGCTTTTTTTCTTTGGGAAGGGAAGGTGGGGGAGAGATTTGGGAATGGGCAAATTGGGATTTGGGAATGGGCAGACTGGGATTTGGGATGGGCAAACTGGGATTTGGGAATGGGCAAACTGGGTTTTGGGAATGAGATTGGGGGGAGCAGGAGGAGTTGGGGGTAAAATTGTGGGGATTTCCTTTTCCATTTTTACCTTTCCCTTTCTCTTTTCCTTTTTTCCCTTCTCTTTTCCTTTTTTCCCTTCTCTTTTCCCTTTTCCCCTTTCCCCTTTTTCCTCATCCAGCCCAAACATTCTCTCTGCACCTGAAAAATCCATTTTTAATTCCAAGCCACCTTTTAGGGATGTTTTTTCCCTTCGGTTTTACCGATTCCCACCCCAGGGCAAGGCTGGGATGTGCTCCCAAATCCCGCTGGGGTGGATCCACCCAAAATCCAGGCGTGAATTCCCATCTATGGACCCGTGCCTGTGCAAATCCCCAGGTGGAAAAATTCCCCTCGGGGAAGGAGCCGGCGCTCCCAGGGCAGGGAGATGAAGGGATCTGTCAAGTGGAATTCCAGAAGTGGGAACTGCCAGGAATGGAGAGTCTGGAATGTGCCTAAAATAAATATTCCCTGCCGGGTATTTACTTTGTCTGCAAATCCCTGCTCGGCCTTCGCCAGGGAATGAAGGGGTATTTGGGATTTATCCTGCCCTCATTCCCTCGCTCCCTGCTGGGATCAGGCTGGAATTGTGCTGGGATGCTCTGCGATCACTCATGGAATTCCCAAAGGGGTGGAATGCCAGGGTTCCTCCTTCCCTTCCTCAGGGAAGCAGCTGAGAATCCTTGGAAAAGTGGCCAGGAGGGATTGAAAGGGTCCAGGAGGGATTGAAATCCCTGCCTGCAGATTCTCCAGGGAATCCAGGACCTGACAATGTCCTAAAGTGGATTTTTGGATTTTTCTGCTGCAAATCTTCCCCTCATTCCCTGAATCCCTCATTCCTTCATTTCCCCAATCCCTGAATTCCTGAATCTCTGAATCCCTCAATCCCTGATTCCCTGAATCCCTCATTATTTGAATCCCTCAATCCCTCATTCCCCCAATCCCTCATTCCCATCTGGAATTGTGTTGGGATCCTGTGGGATCACATCATGAAATCCCAGAAAGAACAATCAATTAAAAATTCCTGTTCCACTGGGAAATAAAATTCCCTAAAATTCAACAACACCCCACCCCCACCCCCCCCAAAAAAAAAAAAAAAAAAAAAAAAAAGCAGAGAAAGGGAGGAAAAGTGTCAGAATTCCACAGAATTCCTTGGGATCTGTGCAATCCCTGGAAAGGAGATCCCAGCCTGGGAGTGCCCAGAGCAAATCCAGATGATTTTCATCCCAGGAAATTTGGATTCATGCCCTGGAGGATTTAATTAGCCATGGAAAGAACTCGAATTAGGCGGGAGAAGGAAGGTTTGTGCCTCCTGTGAGGGAAAACCAGGAATTTTCCATTGTTCCCAAATAAACACCAACACCTTTTGGGATGCAAGGAGAAGAAAAAAGAGGGAAAAATTGATCCCAACCTTAGCAAAAAAAAAAAAAAAAAAAAAAGGGGAAAAATCCTTTCCCTGCTTTTCCTGGCAGAAATCATTGGGGGATTGAAATCCCAAGAAACTGGGGATTTCCTTGAGATAATTCCTTGGGAATGAGGGGGAAATTTTCCTTTTTTTCCTTTTTTTTTTTTTAGCTGGAAACAGATGGGAAATGGGCTGGTGGGGACATGGAAATGCTCTTGGAGAATTTTTCCTGAGATTAGGATGGAGTTCAGCTGGAAAATCCAAATCCAGCTTCCCCATTTGTTTTCCAGGGTTCTCTGCCTGGATAAAAACCCCAAAATTCCCTCCAAAAAAACCAAAAAAAAAACCCCAAAAAAACCACCACATTGGGAGCACAAATAATTGATCACTGTATTAATTATAAATCCCAATATTTGGGTTTATTCCATAGAATTTAAAGTTTATTCCTTTTCTTCCCAAACCTTCAGTTTTCCTGAAGGAATCCCTTTTCCTTTCTGGGATTTTTCATGGGGTTTTTTTGGTTCCTTGAGTTTTTTTGGGATTTTTTTTTTTTTGTGGGATTTTGGGTGTTTTTACTATTTTCTGTCTGGTTTTCAGCTCCTTGCTCAGTGCTCCCACCAGGACACATCTCCTGGTTTTCCTGGATTTCCTGGATGGAATTCTGAACTGTTTTCTCCCGTCTGGAATGCCGACACCCACGGCAGATATTCCCACTCATCAGCGCCTTCCAGATGCTCCCAGCCTCGGGGTGTTCGTCTTACGCAGGCAAAATCCCAAAAAATTCCCTCCCAAATCCCAAATCCAAGAGGGATGTGCCATCCCTGGGAATGGATCTTGGAGCTTTTTCCCAAAGGATCTTGGAGCTTTTTCCTATGGGATCATGGAACCTTTTCCCAATGGATCATGGATCCTTCTCCTAACGGGTCTTGGAGCCTTTTCCCAATGGATCATGGAGTCTTTTCCTATGGGATCATGGAGATTTCTCCTAATGGATCACGGAGCCTTTTCCCAATGGATCCCAGCCCAATTTCCCAGTGGATCCCAGCCCTCTTTCCCAATGGATCCCAGCCCCATTTCCCAGTGGATCAGTTCCCCCCTTCCCAGTGGATCCCAGCCCCCTTTCCCAGTGGATCCCAGCCCCATTTCCCAGTGGATCCCAGCCCCCTTTCCCAGCGGATCCCAGCCCCCTTTCCCAGTGGATCCCAGCCCCCTTTCCCAGTGGATCCCAGCCCCCTTTCCCAGTGGATCCCAGCCCCTTTCCCCATTGCCCGTGAGCTCCGATCCCTTCTGGGATGGCTCTGGGCGCAGCAATTCCGGGGTTCCCAGCCCCAGGGGGACCAGGCTGAGCCCCTGCTCCCTCTCCCCGTTCCCTGGGAATGCCGAACCCCCCCAGGGATGTGATTCCCCGCTGCCAGCGCCGCGTGGGTTGGACAGAGCCCCGCTGGAACGGCGTCCGCGCCGCTTTAATTCCCTAATAACAGCTTCTCCCTCCAGCCAGGCTGGAGCCATCGCCCGCAGCAGCCCCTGGCATGAAAAACTCCTCTGTGCCTGTGACACTGGGGCCTTTGATGAAGCAGCCCGGGATGGTTTCAGCAGCAGGTATTAAATATCCCAAATATCCCAATTAGTGCAATTCACAATTAGTGACAATTAGCTGGTCCCTCTCCAACATTCCCCAAGTCGCTCCCCTGAGGAGGGAGGGAGGCAGCAGGAGGAGGATGCTGCAGAGATGATTTTTAGGGATGATGTGGATAAATGTGAGGTAAAATCCGCTTCCCCAGCCTGAATCTCCCATCTCAGAGGGATGGAAAAATGGAATTTTGGGACTCTGGTTTGCAAACAGTAAAGGAGAAGAGGCTGGATCTGAACTCAAATAAATTTACCCAGCAAAAGTCTTTATATTAATAAAATATATAGAATTAATTACTTCACACTCCTTATCCTGCTCAAGCCCCCAAACACAGGAATTTCCCTCTGAATTCCCACTTCTTTGTGGGAATAAGAGGGAAAAAGCTCTGATGGATAGTTCTGAGTCCCAAAATGTCCAAGGGGAAGCACAGGAATGTTAAAATTCCCCCCAGTTCTGGCTGGAAATCCAGGTGGGTTCCTGGCTGTGCTCTTGAGGGTCCCAATCCCTGCCAAATTTGGGAATTAAGGGTTGGAAAAGCCCTTTAGGATCCTTAAATCCAGCCATGAACCACATGGATGCTGTTTTTCCCCAGGGCAGCTACAATTAAATTCTCCTTGCCTAAGCCCCTGTCCCTGGATTGTTCTGGGTTTGCCCAGAAAAAGGAAAAAACAGGGAAAAAATTCCTCCTATTTCCATTTGACCTGGATCCCCCCATTCACAACCAGGGCAGGATCCTCCACTGCAGGGTGATCCCAAGAATCCTTTCAGGATCATTTCATCCCAATTTCCATCCCAAATTTTATCTTTTCCTCATCTTCCCTTTCCTGCTCTGCAAAGCCAGAGAGTTGAATGAGCAAAGCTGTGGAAAAATGTTGGATTTAAAGCGTTAAAAAAAGGACAGGGAAGGGAAAAAAAAAAAGGGAATTCCTGGGTTTTAAATCAACCTCAGCATTGCTGATGCAGTTGTTTACGAGCAGCTGTTCCAGCCCATTGCACGGACAAAATCCAAGGGAAATGAGATGTTTGATGTCTGCAAAGGCATGCACAAGCCATGGAAAAGCTCCCATGGAAAGGGAAGTAGTGGGATAAACACTCCCTGATTGCGGGGAAGGGGCTGGGGGGGAAATCAGGGGATCACCCCGTGCTGGGGCAGGAGGGAAATTGGGGATTTTTCAGGGATATGGGACGTTTTCCTGGAATTTTAATCCCATTTGTCAGGACAATTCAAGCGATGGGGAATAGTCTGGGAGGAGCCGTGGTATCATCAAATCCCATCCCAGCCCTGTAGACATCCCAAAATCTCACCTGGGACACCCAAAAAATCCCACCCAGGAGCATTGTCCAAAACAGGGAAGAGGTTGTGTGTTCTCCATGAGGGAAATCAGGGATCATTTAAGGAATGGGGACACTGGGACACCCAGAATTATGGAATTAGGGAACTAGGGAATAGCCTGAGCTTGGAATTAGTCCCTCTCCAAATTTTCTACTCCAGGTTTATATTCTCTTCATCCAGATGATGCCTGAGGTCCCATCTGGAGCCACTGCCAGGATCAGGAGATGCTGACTCCACTCAGGAATTCCTTTTCCAGCCTCCTGCCCCCGGCTCTGTTTATTCCCTGCTTCTTTCCCAGCAAGAATTCCAGCTTTTTTAATTCCCTCTTGGAATTAAAAATGTTGTTTTCCCCCTTAATTCCCCCTTTTTCCCTCAGTCCTTCCCCTGAGACGCCCCCAAGGAAAACCAGGCCAGGCCAATGCCAGTATCCCACACCTTGGAATATTTATGGATTTCCTTGGAGCCAGAACTCTTTGGGAGCCTGCAGCTCAGGTTTTAGGATTTATTTCGGTGTCTCCAGCCCTGCTGTCTGAGCCTGAAAATAGCAACCCAGGCTGATCTTATCAGCAGCTCTTGGAGACTCCAATTATCTCCTCCCGCGGCTCCGCAGAAATCGGATCCTGGTTATTGTTTTCTTATCCCGCTCCCTGTCCTCAGAATCCTCCTGGCCGTGGCCGTGGAGCTCTCCAGGAGCCACGCTGGAATTTTATAGAGTGGGAGATAAGCAGAATTCCCGAAATCCAGCCAGGCCTGCATCCCAAAGCCTTTGGGGTCAGTGCCTGAGATGAACAATTTGTTCCCAATGTTCTGAGAGAGTAATTGAGGCAAAAATTCCATTTTATCAGTTTTTCCAATTCAATTCCCTTGGAATAATAGATTTATGGCATCAGGCCAGGATTTGGGATGTTGTCCATGGATACGGAGTGGGAGATTCCCGAAATCCAGCCAGGCCTGCATCCCAAAGCCTTTGGGGTCAGTGCCTGAGGGCAATGATTTGTTCCCAGTGTTCTGAGGGGGAAACTGAGGCAAAAATTCCATTCTAGCAGCTCTTCCCACTCAATTCCCTTGGAATTATGGATTATGGCATCAGGCTGTGATTTGGGAAGTTTATCCATGGAGTCAGAGATTCCAGGATTCTGCTCATCCCTAAATCCAGCCATGCCTTCATCCCAAAGCCTTTGTTCCCAGTGTTCTAGGGAAGAAACTGAGGCAAAAATTCCACTTTAGCAGCTTTTCTCACCCAATTCCCTTGGAATTATGGATTCACAGCACCAGGCCAGGATTAGGTTGGATATTTGGGAATATTTCCTCTCTGAAAGGGTGCCCAGCCACTGGAATGGGCTGCCCAGTGGAGTCCCCATCCCTGGAAGTGTCCCAAAAACCCGAGGATCACCTTCCCAAAAACCCGTGGATCACCATCCCAAAAACCCCTGGACTGACCGCAACTTCCAGCTCCAAGCACCTCAAGCATCGGGATTTTGGCAGATCCAGAATCCTGGCTCAAGTCCTTCCCTAAAATCAACACCTAAAGTAAATATTTGGAATTGTCCCAGCCAGCAGCAGCTCTGGATAAATGTTTTTTTTCCAGTGGTTTCTGCTGGGATGATTCCAAGCCCTTTGGAACCGCCCCAAATCCATCGATCAGCGTCAGCGACGACATTTTCCTCGCGTTCAAAAACTGGGAATCTTATTCCTTTATCAACCTTTTTTGCTCCTCGCGGACCCCGCGCTCGGTGGGAGCCGCTCCGCTTGGCCGGAGCTGGAGAGCAGAAAATAAACAGTGCCCACATTCCCGGGATTTCGGCTGTCAGGGGAGCAGGGAATTATGGGGACCACCAGGAAGTGGGAATAGTGGTTTTCCATGAGGAGAAGTTCCTTCCCAACTTCCCGGACATTCCTTGGCACCTCCAGAGCTCTTTGGATCTGTGGGTCGTGGATTTCTGAGTTTTCCTAAAAAACTTAGATTGGTATCTACATTTTTCCTCAATTTTTCCATGTTTTTCATGATCAGAGGTTCTTCAGCCTCATTCCCAACTTTTCGGGGACATCTTGGTGGTGGCCTTGGCATCTCCAGAGCTTTTTGGATTTGTGAAATTGTGGATTTCTGAGTTTTCCTCAAAATTTGGATCGGAGTCCCGATTTTTCCTCCATTTTCCAAGATTAGAGGTTCTTCAGCCTCACTCCCAACTTCCTGGACATTCCTTGGCACCCCCAGAGCTCTTTGGATTTGTGGGATCTTGGATTTCTGAGTTTTCCTCAAAATTTGGAGCAGTATCCAAATTTTTCCACATTTTCCCACATTTTCCATAAGGAAATGTTCCTCAAATATAACAAAATTCCAATTTTCCCCTCAATTCCAGCATCTCATGCAAGTGAATCTTCCCATTGAAATGAGGAATTATTTCCCAATCACAGAAAAAAATCCCCCGGGAAGCTCCTGGAGTGTGAGGAATTTTTAGTAAGAATTTTTAATTCCTACAGAGTTTTTAATCACCCCAAAAATTGGAGCAGGATCAGGAATTTAAATCCTTTGGGAATTCCTTTGGAAAATGAAATTTCTCAGCTCAAATCCATGGAATTTTCAGCTGAGGAAACCCCAAAAATTCATTTTTGGATTGTTCCACATAAAATAAAAATCCCAGAATGTTTTTAATTAATTAGATTTTAATAATTTTATTCATTTTACCTCTATTTTAGGGACTTTTTCAAAGGGTTTCCACATCAATTTTCCATGGATTCCACAGAAAAACACGGTGGCTCCATCCTCAGAAATTCCACTTTTTAATTGGAAAACTCCTTTCCTTTTTCCCCGATTTTTTTATCTTAAAATCGGTGACCACCACATGATTTTAGTCAGAAATACCTGGGTTTGGACAGTTAAATTCCCTTTTTTTTTTTAAGGAATTAACACTTCCAAAGGCTTGGAGTGACATCTAGCGACAGGCAGGAAAATCTGGGAATAAATTAAAAAAAAAAAAAAATAAAAGGAATAAATTCCCTTTGCTTCAACAGCAAAATCCCAAAGTTATCCCGAATCATTTAGGGGGGAAAATCGCATTATTTTCATTTTTGAGGGAAGTTTGTGTTCTTTGTTTGAGCATGGAATGTTTAAAATTTGGAGGGAAAACAATTTTAAAAATATTGGAATGCTGGGGATTAAAGATTCCAAGGAAATCAGGGAAGGAAAAAATTCCCTTTAAAATAATTTGGCCCTGTCCTCCACTGATTTTGCTTCCCAGGTGGAATTTTCCAGGGAAAATAAAGGGGGAAGGTGGATAAAATAATGGGAATTTTGATGTTATTCTGGGAATAAATGGATTTATTTGGTATTTTCCTGGGAAAAAAGCGTAAAGGTGGATAAAACAATGGGGAAATGGATGTAATTCTGGGAATAAATGGATTTATTTGTCATTTTTCTGGGGAAATAGAGACTACACAGGCAAGAATTAGAAATAAATATAATTATAAATAAATATTCACATTACAGGTAATTGATCATGATACAGACAACATTGGTGAACCCCAGATGGCAAATGCGTGTTTAAAAAACTGGAATTTTGCTGACATCTTGGAAAATTCCTACTTTGGAAGAGGATATTTCAGGAAAAACAATCCCTGGTAATCCCTGTGCATGCATGATAATAATAATTATAACAATTGAGTTGAACATGCTAAAATAATCGAGTTTTTGCAGGGTTTTAGTTTTGTTTTAGGAAAAAAGCCTTGAAATTTTTGAAATAAAATCCGAAGGTTTTTGATTTGCAGTAATTAATTAATACAAGAATAACAAAAAAATAAAATTACAACATACTCCATCCCTTTGGTATTCCTAATTCCTGAAATTCCTAATTTTGCTGAGGAAAAAAGGAGGAATTGGCACTTTTTGAATTTTCTGTTTTCCTGGGTCGTTTGTCTCTTCCAGCCCGAGCTGGGAAGGGAATGGGAATGAAAGTGCAGAGTGCAACAAACACCCAAAAAAACCCCAAAACTGCAACAAAAAAACATTAAAAAAATGGAATTTTATATTTCCAAAGTAAAATCAGCTCACGCTGCGAGAGCTGCAGCTGGCACAGGGAACTGGGAAAAATTTGGATCAGCTGCCATCAGAAAATGTTGGAATTCCAGGTTTGGAGATAAATTTATCTCCAAAATGAAAGAAAATAAATAAAAAGAAAGAAAAGAAATAACAGAAATAAAGAAATGTCTGAGACCTGTGTGAGCTGTGGTTATTTTGGTGAAGGCAGGACTGAGGGAAAAACCCCAAATTTTGGATGTGTCACTAATAATTAATTCAATTTTAAGGCATTTTTGGATTGAAGGAGGGAATTCCCCCAACTTTCAGCGCCTAAATGTGATTTTTTTTTTTTAGTGTGCTGAAAAGAGAAATAAAATTCTCCAAATTAAATTTTTGGGGTGGGGGGAACCTTCTTCTCTTGACTACACAAATTTCACTTTTTTACCTTAAATCCTCACCTTTCGGCAAATTATTTTTGAACTCCCACTGATCAATTTTTGCTCATTTGGATTAAAAATAAATCTAAATTCGAAGACTTGGAGCAGCCAGGGAGTTCTTGAGTGAGCAGTGGAGGGAAATGAGATGAAAACAACACCTGCCTTTGCAAAAAAAAATTTAAAAAAAAATTGAAAAATTGAAAAAGTCTTCTCCTGAAACTAAGAATAAATTGAATTTCTGCCTTTCACAGGGCGAGAAAAGAGAAATAAAGAGATGTAATTATTCCATTCTCAGCTACCCCTGGAAAAGCTGATCCCTTTTCCTGCTCTGTGGAATAATCTGGTCCCACTTTGGGCTCTTCTGCTCGAATTTCCTTGCCAAGGAATAAACAGCAGCTTCATTTTAATCTTATTAGCATAAAAAACTCAGCGTGACCTTTAGCAAATCACCCTCAAATATTTTCAAACTTCTCCTTCCAGTTTTTTATCTGCTTTTTGGGTTTTGCCACCTTTTATTTGCCTTCAGTTCTGGCATTTTGGCTTTTTCTGGGATTTCTGGCAGCTGCTTTATTTTGTTTTTTAAGCGTCTTGAACCATGCCACGTCAGCACTCCGAGGGTGATAATGAGTCCTGCAAAAGCTTTTTAAAAGAGGAGTTAGTTAATCCCCATCCAATTAACGGTTCTTCCCGAAATCCAGCCAGGCTGCATCCCACTGGGATTAGCGCCTGAGGGGAAGGATTTGTTCCCAGTGTTCTGAGGGGGAAATTGAGGCAAGAATTCCATTTTATCAGTTCTTCCCACCCAATTCCTTTGGAATTACAGATCCACAGCACCAGGCTGGCATTTGGGAGGTTTCTCCTTGGATATGGAGTGGGAGATTCCAAGATTCTGCTCCTCCCTAAATCCAGCCATGCCTGCATCCCAAAGCCTTTTGTCCCAGTGCTCTGAGGGGGAAACTGAGGCAAGAATCCCATTTTATCATCTCAAGGATCCCATTTTATCATCTCTTCCCACTTGGTCTCTCCTTGGCTACAGTGTAGGAGAGTCCAGGATTCTGCTCTTCCCTAAATCCAGCCATGCCTGCATCCAAAAGCCTTGGGCCCAGTGTTCTGAGGGGGAAACTGAGGCAGGAATCCCATTTGAACGGGATTCTCCCGTGTAGCAGCAAGCAGAGCCCAGCATGCCAAGCTGCTCAGGGGATGCCATCCTTCCTCTGGCAGCACTGCGAGGGCGGCACTCCCCAGTCGTACATGTAGGAGAGACGCAGTTTCACCTCCTCCTTGCACAGCTTCCCTTCCCTGGCTAGCGTCTGCTGCTTCTCCAGCATGTCCTCGATGCTCTGCTTGTGGGTCACGATGTACTTGTTGCTGCAGCCGCGCGATTTGTACTCGGTGTCGAAGCGGGGGTCGTGCACCCTCTTGACATCGATGGGCGCCAGCCACACGCCCAGGGACACGTCCTCGCTCTGCCACAGGTTCAGGTAGTCCCTGCTGAGGCTCAGGTAGCGCACCAGGTCGGCGGAGATCACGTATCCACCACCCAGCGCGTAGGGCAGGTAATAATCGCACAGCAGCCAGGCGCTCTCCTTCCACTTCCCCCCGGATTTCACCCGCCCGCGGCCCGAGAAGAAGCCCCAGTACAGGCGCCGCGGCTCCTTGGCGCTCAGCTCCTCCAGCAGCACGTCCAAGCGCACGAAGGTGTCATCGTCCGCCTTGAGGGCGAACTGGAAGTCCAGGTGCGCGTCCAGCCACACGTAGGTGGCCAGCACCTTGGCCGTCAGGTTCTCGTAGGAGTCGCGCAGCTCCGGCAGCAGCAGCAGGTCCCGGTGGCGCCGCTGCTCCAGCTGCAGGCTCCGCAGCTCCTCGGCGCCCAGCCCCGCCGTGCCCACCACGAAGCGGCTCCAGACGCGGCCGGGAGGCGCCGCCGCCATCCAGGTGCTGCGGATGATGCTCCGCCGCTCGCTGGACTTGGGGTCGCTCATCACCACCGCGGCCAGCACGGCGCTGCCGCCCTCAGCGCCGCGGGCGGCCCGGCCGGGCTGGGGGTGCGCGGGCGGCGGGCGCAGACCCTCGGAGGTGCACTTGGCGAGGTAGAGCAGCACGGCGGCGCAGAGGGAGAGCCCGCCCAGCCCCAGCGCGGTGCGGTGCCGGCTCAGCCGCCGCAGCGCCCTCATGGCCGCCGGGTCCCTCACGGCCGCCGCGGTGAGGCGGGAACGGCGGTACGGCCGCCGGGAGGGGACAAGCTTTGTGCGGGAGTGCTCACCAAGAGACGCTGCCGCGCTGCGTTGGTTTCATGGCTCTCCCGAGATTTTCGCCTTCTCCTCCGGGAAGCGGCGGTTCCGTCCCTGCTCCTGCCGCTGTTCCGGTGGTCCCCGCACCGGGGAAAGGGGAGGGAGGAGGAGCGCAGGCCGCAGCGCTTGACGCGGCGGCTGCCATCTTTGAGTACGGCACTAAGGCCGAGGAGCGGCCATCTTGGGTTTGGGCACTGCGCCGTGCCCGTGCCTGGGATGGGCTCAAAACCCACCCAAGTGCCACGCCCCGCCATGGGCAGGGGCACCTTCCACTGTCCCAGGCTGCTCCAGGCCTCCATGTCCAACCTGGCCTTGGGCACTGCCAGGGCAGTTACAGCTGGGCCAGGGCTTTGCATTAGATGCTATTTAAGTCCCCTTCCAACGCAAACCATTCCATGCTTCAATAAAAACAGCCACGCACACACAAGCGGGAAGTAGGAGGAGATCAAGATGTTAACAACGAAAAAACGATAGGAGCGCCAGGAAAACGCCCCTTTGCCTCCTCCCTGCCGGAAATGGCGGCTGCCCTCACCTAAGATGGCGGCCGCGCGGCGCAGTGACTAAACTTCCGCCTCCTCCCTCCGCCCTGGCAGCGCCGGGCTCCGTGAGGGGCCGTGAGGGGCTCAGCGGCGGCCGGGCCCGGGCTGAGCCTCCCTGCGGCCGTCACGGCGCTCGGGGCAGCGTCCGCTCCCTGCCCGGCGGCTCCCGGTGAGTGCGGGCGGCTTCTCCCGCTCCCCTCTTGATGAGGGGCTCCGAGGGGTTCTGAGGGGTTTTGGGTGCTGTGAGAGACTCTGAGGGGTTCTAGTGGGCTCTGAGGGGTCTTGGGGGCTCTGAGGGGTTCTGGGGCCCTGAGTGCTCTGGAGGGTTTTGGGGGCTGTGAGAGATTCTGAGGGATTTTGGGGGCTCTGAGGGGTTCTGAGATTTTGGGGGCTTTGAAGGATTTTGGGGGCTCTGAGGGGTTTTGGTGTTACTGGGGGCGCTCTCTGTGGGGTTTGAGATTATTTTTCACTTGGAATGGGGTGGGATACTCGGATTTGATGGCTCTGGGACAGAATTTGGGATTATTTTTCCCTGGAATGGCCCCTGTGGTCACTTCCAGGACAGGATATTAGGATTTTTTGGGACAGCTCCTCCTTGCTGCTGTTTTCTGTGTGTTTCCAGCTCCCCTTTCTCTTGGATCTGCCCCTATAAATTCCATATATTTATTATTTAACAGGCTAACCCTGTGACATCTTGTTTCAGTTTAACTTGGTTTTCCTCTTCTTTCCCTTTCAGATCATTTAACCTACAGTGATATCTTGCTTCAAATTTTAATTTGTTTTTCTTTTTAAATCCTTTAACCCAGAGTAACCTTTTCCTTCAAATTTTAACTTATTTTTCCATTTAGATCCTTTAACCCACTTTAAAGAAAAGCGACTTTTTCCTTCAAAACTTACTTACCTTATTTTCCTCTCCTTTCCCTTTTAGATCCTTTAACCCTCAGTGACCTTTTCCTTCTGAGTTTAATTAGTTTCTCCCGTTCTTCCCCTTTTAGATCCTTTCACCCACTTTAAGGAAAAGTGACCTTTTCCTTCAAAACTTAATTTATTTTTCCTTTTAGATCCTTTAACCCACTTTAAGGTAAAGCAACCTTTTCCTTCAAGACTTAATTATTTTTCCTCCTCTTTCCCTTTTAGCTCCCAGCGACTCCGACCACCGATAAACCCCAAGAAGCCCTATAAAAGCCCCAAAATGCAGTCGGGACGGGCTGTGCTGTGCAGCCTGGGCTGGCTCTCCCTCTCCCTGCTGTCGCTGCTGTTCCCGGCCGGGTGTGCCAGGCCTGCCAACCTGTCGGCGCTGCGGGGCCGGGAGGAGCTGCTGCCCCCCGAGCACCTGAACGGCGTCCGGCTGGAGCGGGATGGGCACCTGAACCGGGAGCTGCCTCAGGAGCTCTTCCTGGGCCGCGAGCGAGAGCGCTTCGAGGAGGACTCCCAGCCCCGCCGCAACAGGAGGAAGCTGGTGGGCATCTTCTCCAAGTGAGTCGGGGAGGGAAGGGTTAAAAAAAAAAAACCCACCAAAAAATCCCCAAAAAATTTAACCCCCCCCCAAAAAAAAACCAAAAAACAAACAAACAAAAAAAACCTACAAAAAAACCCTAACCTCCCCCCAAAAAAACCCCAAAAAACCAAAAAATGAAACAAAACACAAAAAAAACCAAACAAAAAACCCCCAAAAAAACCCTACAAAAAAACCTACAAAAAACTCCCAAAAATACCCCAGACCCTCCCCCCCCAAAAAAAAACAAACCCAAAAAACCCCCAAAAACAACAACAACAAAAAATCCAATAAAACCCCAGAAAAACAAAAAATAAAAGGGAATTTTGCTGCGATTGAATTGGAAATATTAAGAGTTCAAAATTGAAAATTTGAATTAATATTTCAAAATTGGGAATTTGAACTCATGTTCTCAAAATGGGGACTTTTAATTTAAAAATTGGGAGGTTTAATGTTTCAAAATTAGATAAAAAGAGAATATTTTCCATTAATGCTTTTTTTTTAAAGTGAATTAATTTCTTTACTCGGTGGAAAAATAATTGCATTTTATTTTAACACATTCAAGCATTTTCTTTACTAAAATTCCCTTTCTTTTGGCTTTTTTCATCAATTCAGACACCAGGTGGCAGAGTTGATTTGCATTTAATTTGCATTTTTGAATTAAAACACCTCCACTTAATCCCATGATGGGGAGGAACTTTCAAAGCTTCATTTGCTGCAAAATGACCATGAATAAATCGAATTTAATTCAAATAATTCATGAATAAATAACAAATAAATGCTAAAAGCATCTCCCTGGTGGAAAGTGATATTGAAACCCCCAAAATTTGCATTTTTTGTGGGTTTTTTGTCTCTTTTTTCGCATTTAGTTGACATTTTAAGGCCAATCATATCTTGAATAATTTGAGTTTCAATCAAAACAACTCAAAGGCAAACTGGGGCTTTTTAATTCTGTGTTTAATTCAAGTTTTGGGTTTTTTCTCCAAAAATTAGTGGGTTGGAGGTACTTTAAATAGAATTTAAAATAGTAACAAAATAAAATCTGATTTTTAGTGATATTTTGAGTTACAAGGTATGATATGAGGTGCTTTAAATAGAATTTAACAAAAAAAAATCTGAATTTTTAGTGATATTTTTTTAATTACAAGGTGTGGTATGAGCTGCTTTAAATAGAATTTGAAATGGTAACAAAATGAAATTTAAGGTATATTTTGTATATTTATTTAATGCTCAAAAAAAACCCTCAGAGTGGCAGAAAATTGGATTTATTTTTTATTTGGAAGTGTAATTTTTTAATTAAGTTCTCAATGAAATAAGGATTAATCCGATTGGGTTTTCCTGATCACTTTAATCAGGAAAAATTGAATTTTGCAGCTTTGAATCCAAGAAATTCCTTGGGGTAAACTCATGGAGAACAAATACAACATTCACATGTGTTAAAAAATAAAAATAATTTTTTTTTTCTTTAAAGGTGGCTTGGAAAGAGAAATTTGAGAGAAAATTCAAAATCTGGAAGAAAATTTTTCCAATTCTGAACTTGCAGTGACCCAAAATTCCATCATTTGTGGAAAAATTCCCTCAAAACCATGATTTAATTCTAGAAAAAATAATCATTTCACTGATTAATAAGCTAAATCTTGCTAAATTAAATGAAATTAATTAAATTATATTTCTTTAATTCTGAATTAAAGGCTGATCTGTTGCTTGTTTCTCAGAGAGAATCCAAAGTATTCATTTTTTTTGTAAATTTCAGCTGAAAAAGCCAAGTTATTAATTAAAAACTGAGCAAATCTTTCCCTCTTAAACTCCAAATTAAAATTCTGTTTATTTAAATTGATTCAAAAAATTATTTTACCTTATTATTTTTAGAGTGGATAGAAATAATGATCAAAAAATCAGCGCCAAGGAGATGCAGCGTTGGATCATGGAGAAAACAGAGGAGCATTTCCAGGAGGCCGTGCAGGAGAACAAAATGCACTTCAGGGCCGTGGATCCTGATGGGGATGGTAAAATCCACTTCTTTCCCCTGAAAAAAAAAATCACTTTTTAAATCAGTTTTGGGATCTTGAATTTATTTCTGGCATCAAATTTCCATTGAGAATGGCAAATTTGGATTTTTGTGGGAAAGGATGTAAAGAAATGAAAAAAAAAGGAATAAATTGAATTCTTCACCAAATTTTATGGGGGAAAAACCCCAAAAAATTAAAACTAGTGACAGCTTTTATGTTCTCATTCCTAAAATTCAGTGTGGGGTTGTGATGTTGCTGATTTTAAAAGAATTAAATCCAAAATTGTTTATTTCAAGTTGAAATTTTCTCAATTTCAGGTCACGTTTCATGGGATGAATATAAAATTAAATTCTTGGCCAGTAAAGGCTTCAATGAGAAGGAAATTGCAGAGAAAATCAAAAACAATGAGGAATTAAAAATAGATGAAGAAAGTAAGTGTAAAATGGTATTTTTATTCTTAAAACCTGGGGGTGAAAAGAAAAATGGGAGGGAAATATTTGGGTTGTGCTGCTTGAGGAGGAGTTAAAAAAAAAAAAAACAACCTGCATTTTTCCATCAAAAATCCGCTGGGAAAATGAGAATTTTTTAGAGGAATTTTCCTGTTTTCCCTCCTTAATTATAAAAGAAATAATATTAATTTTTCCATCTAAAATTTGCTGTGAAAATGACATTTTTAAGAGGAATCTTCTTGTTTTTACCTTAAATAATTTATTCTAAAATCCCCCCAAAATTACATCAAAATTCATCCTGACCAGAATCTGCCATGAAAATTGCAATTTTAAGGGGAATCTGCCATGAAAATTGCAATTTTTGAGGGCATTTTCCCCCTTAAAAAAAAATCAGAATTTTCTCAAAAATCCCCCAAAAACCAAAGCCAAAATCCAGCAATCCCACATTGCTCCCGCCACAAAAACTTTGATTTTTACAAGGAATTTTCCTTTTTTTTTTTTTTTTCCCCCTAGGAACACCATTTACCTTTCCTGTAAACCCCCCCCCCCTTGCACCTTTCCCTTTCCCTGCAGGGCTGAGTCATTTCCAAATCGCTTGGGTGACATTTTCCAGCAGTGAAAAAAACTGAAATTAAAAAATAAAACGGCTGAAATGCAACAAAAAAGGAGCTGAGAATTGCAGGGAAATCACCTGGGGTGGTTCCAGGAACTGCTGAGTCAGCGCCGCTGCACCTGAGCCCCAAAATCTGCAGGAAAATCAAATTATTCAGCCTCCACTTCCTCTGGGGTTCTTTTTTTCTTTTTTTTTCCTCTTCCAAAAGTGATTTTTAGGGTTTTTATTTTAAATCAAAAGCACCTCGGGGGTGTGGAGTTCAAGGCGCTTTCTGTAGAAATTTGGATTTCGGGTCAAGCTTTTATTTTAATTAATATTTTATTTTATTTAATTAATGGATGTTGGTGGATAATTGGATTGTGGGATGAAATGGAGGACTTCCGTGGGATTTTGGTGCTGATTTTTCTGTTCCTACATCACTAAATTTAATTTTTCTTGCAGCAAAAATATGGAATTAAATATAAATATAAATAAATAAATTAAATACAAATATAACAAAATATCTGCAGGGTTTAGGCTTTAAAAAAATCATTGATTAAACACCCGAGAGCTTGAAATGAGGGGGTTGTGACCGATTAAATCCTAAAAATTGATTGGGACAAAGCATTAAAAATTGGATTGGGACAACTGAAATCCTAAAAATTTGATTGGGACAATTTAAATGCTAAACATGGATTGGGAGAACTGAAATTCCTAAAACTTGGTTGTGCCAACTCCTAAAAATGGATCGGGGCAATCCCAAAATTTGGGATGAACTGAAATCTACAGAGAGATTCTGCCAAATCCCAAAAAAACGGGATGGGGGCAGTTCCAGAATTTGGGATGAATTGTGCCAAATCCTACAGACAGATGGGGACAGTTCCAGCCCTTGGGCTGAGCTGCATCCCAAACTGCACTGGTGCAGGTGCAGCATTTGGGCTGAGCTGCATGCCAAGCTGCACAGGCGCATTTGGGCTGAGCTGCATGCCAAGCTGCACGGGCGCAGTTGCAGCCTTTGGGCTGAGCTGCATGCCAAGCTGCACGGGCGCAGTTGCAGCCTTTGGGCTGAGCTGCATGCCAAGCTGCACGGGTGCAGTTGCAGCCTTTGGGCTGAGCTGCATCCCAAGCCGTCGGTGCCGTTGCAGCGCAGGAGGTGCTGGACAACCTGAAGGATCGCTGGTACCAGGCGGACAATCCCCCCCCGGACCTGCTGCTGAGCGAGCAGGAGTTCCTGTCCTTCCTGCACCCCGAGCACAGCCGCGGCATGCTGCACTTCATGGTGCAGGAGATCGTCCGGGACCTGGGTAAGCCGGGATTTCTGGGAATTGTATCCATGGATTCCTGTTCTTGGTGTGCATTGTGGGGAGGGAATGGTCAGGTGGAGTTCCATGGACTCCCATTTTATGTGGATATTCACACAGCCGTGGCTGCTGCACTTCATGGTGCAGGAGATTGTCTGGGATTTAGGTAAACTGGGATTTCCTGGGAATTGTGTCCATGGGTTCCATGGGTTCCCATTGTATCCATGGTTTCCCGGGGTTTTTTATGTGGGTGTTGGGAGGGAATGGTCTGCTGGAGCTCCTGTCCTTCCTGCACCCCGAGCAAGCCGCAGCTGCTGCACTTCATGGTGCAGGAGATCGTCCGGGATCTGGGTAAGCCGGGATTTCTGGGAATTGCATCCATGGATTCCCATTTTTTATGTGAATTTTGGGAGGGAATGGTCAGGTGGAGGAATTGTGTCCCTGGATTCTCTTTTTTTATGTGGATTTTGGGAGGGTTTTGCATGGAATAGTCTGGTGGAGTTCCATGGATTCCCATTTTATGTGGATATTTGCACAGCCACGGCTGGGACCTGGGAAATCCAGGATTTCCTAGGAATTGCATCCATGGATTCCCAGTTTTCTGTGGGTATTGGGAGGGGTTTGGCTTTTTGCGCAGCTCAGTGGGAAATTCCTATTTTTATGGGAATTAAGTGAATATATTTTTTGTGCAGCTCAGTGGGAAATTCACATTTCTATGTGAATTAAGTGAATATATTTGAATTTTTTGCACAGATCAGGAGGAAATTCCCCTTTTTACGGGAATGAAGTAGATCTATTATAAATTTTTGCACAGATGAGTAGGAAATTCCTATCTTGACAGGAGTTAAGCAAACCTATTTTAATTTCTTGTACTTTTTTATGGGAATTAAGGAAATATAATTAAGGGAATTAAGTGAATTTTTTTGCACAGACCAGAAGGAAGTTCCCATTTTCACAGAAATGAACTGAATATATTTGAATTTTTTGCACCGATTGGGAGGAAATCCCCATTTTTCCGGGCACTGAATTCACTAATTTGAATTTCCGTGTTCCCGGGGATCGCGGTGCCCACTCTGACCCGGTGTCTCTCTACAGACCAGGACGGGGATAAGAGGCTGACCCTGCCCGAGTTCATCTCGCTGCCCGTGGGCACGGTGGAGAACCAGCAGGCACAGGACGTCGACGACGACTGGGTGAGGGATAGGAGGAAGGAGTTCCAGGAGGTTATCGACGCCAACCGCGACGGCATCGTCACCATGGAGGAGCTGGAGGTCAGTCCAAAACTCGGCTTTGGAAATGTCAATAATTCACTCACAGCTCCGTTTTTTATTAAATAATGGAGTATTTAAATTTAATTTTCATTTTGCGTTAATTTCATTTAAAATGCGGCTTTAAAAGCGGCATTAATTCGCTTACAGCTCAATTGTTTTAATAAAAAATGGAATATTTTTAATTTCATTTAATAGTTGATATAATATATATGTTTTATATATGTTATTTTTTACATAAATAAAAATATATAATATATATTATATATTTAAATGTGTATTGTATATTATGTATATGTATATATTATATATACGTATATATATTATATACATATATTATTTAAATATATGTGATATATAATATATATTATATATATTATGTATTATATATGTTATCTATATTATATATTTAAATATATGTATGATATATATTATTTAAATATATATAATATACATGTTATTATATATAGTATATATTATTTATAATATATCTTTTATATTTTATATGTTTGATACATATACTTGATTTAATATTAGATTTAATATTTGGAATATTTGATTTCATTTTAATTTCACATTAATTTCATTTAAAATACAGCTTTGAAAGCCTCAAAAATTGAGTTACAGCTCAATTTTTTATAAGTATTTCATTTAAAAACAGAGTATTTTGATTTAATTTCAATTTCACAATAATTTCATTCAAAATGCACTATTAAAACCCTCAGAAATGCCATGACAGCTGAATTTGTGATGAAATTCCCGTTTTCCCAGGAGTACATGGACCCGATGAACGAGCACAACGCGCTGAATGAGGCGCGGCAGATGATCGCTGTGGCCGACGAGAACCAGGACCACCAGCTGGAGCTGGAGGAGATCCTCAAGTACAGCGAGTACTTCACTGGCAGCAAGCTCATGGACTACGCCCGCAACGTCCACGAGGAATTCTGACCTTCCTCCCCTTCCAGAACTTTCTATCCGCTCCCCACCCGCTGACGAAACACAAAAATCCCGGGGAAACGGCTTCAGCCGAGCGGCGGGAATCGCTCCTGGCGGGCTCGCGCTTCTCTGTCCGTCTCTGCGCTCCGCGGCTCCTCGCAGGGATTTCCCTGCTGGAAAAACGGTGGGAATTCCTGGATTCAGGTAATTTCCCTGCTCGGTTTGGGGTTGAAGGCAGCTGGAATTCTGGGTGGGGAGGATTCTGGAATATTCCCTGGTTTCCTTCGGCTTCTCATCCAGGGGATCCCAAATAAAACTTGGATTTGGGTGGAGGAATGTTTGTCCTCCACACCCAATTCCATTTGAGAAATTCCTTAAATTTAGAGAAATTCCTTAAGTTATATTCCCTTGTTGCCCTCACAGATGCTGATGCAGGGAATCCCAAATAAAACTTGGATTTTGGGAATTTTGGTGGTTCCAAGGAATGTTTACCCTCCTGGGAATATCCACACTCAATTCCAGTCTTTTTCTCAACTTCCTGAAGAGTTGTTGGGAATTAAATGGAATTTTTTCAGGGAGCTGTGGGGAAGAATTTATTTGAAACGTTACAGAAAAACTTTCTGGAATTAAATAAATAAAATAACATTATTTAAAATTAAATTAATATAAAATTACTTTTTTTGTTGTTGACATCCGCACTGGCAATGGGAGATTCTGGATTTATAAAATCAGATTTTGGCCAAAAATCAAACAATTGGGGAGTTTTTTTGGGAATTTAAGCTGTTGGATAAAGCAGTAGGAATTCCCATGGAGTTTTATGGCTGCTTAATTAAAATTCACTGCTAAAATTAATGAGCTCTGTGCTATTTAATGCTGTTAATGAGCTGCTGATGATGATATGGGGGAAATTCCAGGCTTTAGGTGAGCTCTAAAAAAGCAACTCTGTCCCAAATAAAATTGATTTTTTCCTCTGCTTCCAACTTTCCTGGGAAAAAACCCTCTTTGGGAAAGAATTCCTGAAATGAATGAGATGTTTTATTTGATTAAATTTATTCTTAATATAATGTAAATACAGGAATTGCTATCCCTCTTTCCCTTTTCCTGCTTTATTTGATGTTTTTATTAAATTCCTTGGATAAAAGGTTTTATATACTTTTTTTGTTTGTTTTGTTTTCCATTTAATATTTCTCTCCATGCTTTGGAAATTCTGCTGCTTTTAAAGTTTGGTGGGGGGCAGGGGGGTGGGGGGAAATAAGAGGAATAAATTCCATGGATAATCTCCAATAAAATGAGTTTAAACACAAAAATTCTAGTAAAATCAGCTGATAATTGTAATTTATCTATGAAGAGATTTTTAGGACACCATCCTAATTTGATTTTGGGATAACATGAGCATGGAATCTCTAATTTCTCAGTATTTTCTAGAGTCGGTGAAGGTAAAGCTGGATTCCAGGCAGCTGGAAAATTGAGATCCTGGATCCAATTCTAATAGGCTGGAAAATGAAATTCCCTTAATTCTCACCTATTTTGTGGATTCAGTGATGCCAGGGAGCTCTCCTAGAAGTGAATGGGTTCCTGGAAAACGGAATTCCCGAATTCCGGCTCAGCCAGGGTATCTCCCCAGCGCTCCTCCATCCCTGCTTTTCCAGCCATTCCCATCGGGATTCCCCTCCTTTGAGGGCTCCTTTTACCCCTTTAACCCTTTTCAAGCTCAGCATTTCCTTTTCCTGCCCAAAAACCCCAAACCGGGAGCGGGAAGGGGCGTGGAGAAAAGTGGGAATTTCCCTCAAGTGTCCCCGCCCGGAGCCGTTCCTGCACTCGGCGCTGCCGTGAGGGGAAGGAAAGGTGTCCTGAAGGGAACGGAGCCGTGAGGGGAAAGGGAAAGGCGCTTTGAGGGGCCGGTGGCGTGAAGGGAACGGAGCAGTGAGTGAGGGGAAGGAAAGGTGTTCTGAGGGGAATGGAGCCGTGAAGGGGACGGTGCTGTGAGGGGAAAGGCTCCGTGAGAAGAAAAGCTCCGTGAAGGTTCGGCTCCGTGCGGGGTCCGTGCCGTGAGAGAAACGGCGCCCTGAGGGGAAGGGCGGCGATGGCGCTTCCAAGGATTGCCTGGAACCTCCCCGCGTTCTGCTGGCTGCTGGCCGTGCCCATTCCCGCTTCCCTGGGCTGGGAATGCCCGGAGCGCCAGTACCGCTTCCACGAGCGATGCTGCAGCGACTGCGCCCCCGGTGAGTGCCCGCCGCCACGGCAGAGCCGCACTTCGGAACTGCTTCTTAGTAAAATACCTATTTCTTACTGAAATACCCGGTTTTTAATGGAATATCTCTTTTTTTTTTCTTAGTGGAATAGAGATTTTAGTGCAATACCTATTTTTTAATGTAATACCTACGTTTTTAGACTGATAAAAACAAGTTTTAAACCAAAAAAAAATCGGGAAAATCTTCCTTTTTGAGAGTGATTTTTAACTTCGTTTTAATGTTTTTTTCTTCCTAAATGCCTCAGTTAGGGGAATATCCTACACTCTGGAAGGGATGTTTGGGATCCACTAGGACAAAAATTTTGGGCATTTTCCCCAACTTCAGCCCTCCCCAGCCCTTTTCAGCCACTCCATTAAATGTTGATTTTTTTTTTTCCCCTCTGGCCAAACTTCCAGTGATTTTTCTCCTAACCAGGAACTGCCAAATTGTGGGCACTGTTTGATCCTAAAGGGTGAAATTTAGGATTTTTACCGTCACCATCCCAACCAATCCTGATTTATTCCCAAAGCATAAAATTAGGATTTTTCCTGTCACGATCCCAACCAATCCTGCTTTATTCCCAAAGGATAAAATTAGGATTTTTCCTGTCATGATCCCAGCCAATCCTGATTTATCCCAAAGGATAAAATTAGGATTTTTCCTGTCATGATCCCAGCCAATCCTGATTTATCCCAAAGGATAAAATTAGGATTTTTCCTGTCATGATCCCAGCCAATCCTGATTTATTCCCAAAGGATAAAATTAGGATTTTCCCCCTCACCATCCCCGCCAGTCCTGATTTATTCCCAAAGGATAAAATTAGGATTTTTCCCCTCAGGACCCCACTGAATCCTGATTTTTGGGTGTGTTTTAGGGGAGAGGATGTGGAATCAGCTGACCCCGTGTGCTCCCCAGGCCAGTGACACATTGTTCGGTCCCAAAGGATGAAATTTAGGATTTTTCCCCTCAGGACCCCACTGAATCCCAATTTTTGGGTGTTTTTAGGGGAGAGGATGCGGAGCCGCTGCACGGCCTCGGCGGACACCGTCTGCTCGCCCTGCCAGGACGGATATTTCAGCTCCCAGCACCACCATGGCCTCTGCCACAGCTGCACTGTCTGCAACGCCTGTGAGTGCTGGGATGGGGGGAAAAAAATCCCTTTTCTTGGGAAAAAAATCCCTTTTTTTTGGGAAAAAATCCAATTTTTGATGGGGAAAAAATTGCTTTTTTAGGGAAAAAAATCCCCCCTTTTTTGGAAAAAATCCCTGAATATTTCTGAGGGAAAAATCACATTTGGGAAAAAAAAAAAAGAAAAGCCTTTTTTAGGGAAAAGAAACAATTTTTGAGGGAAAAAAATCCCTCTTTTTGGAAAAAATCTCATTTCTGAGGGAAAATACCCATTTTGTGGGGAAAAATGCTTGGTTTGGGGCATTTTGGGGGAAAAATCCATTTTTTTGGGGAAAAAATCCAATTTTTGAGGGAAAAAATCCCATTTTGGGGGGAAAAATGCCTTTTTGGACAGGAAAATCACTTTTGGGAGGAATGCCTTTTGGGGGCATTTTTGAGGAAAAAATACTATTTTGGGCGAAAAATCCCTTTTTTGAGCAAAAACCTCCTCATTTGGGGGGGAAATTTCTTTCTTGGGGCATTTTTGGGGGAAAAAATCCCCTTTTTGGGTTATTTTGGTGGAGAAAAAAATCCATTTTGGGGTAAAAAATCCCCCTTTGGGCTGCTCCAGAGGTCCTACCTGCAAACCACTGTCCTCAACGAAGTCATTAAATTAATTACTAATTATGAATAGTTAAATTGCTGAATGGTGCAGCTCCTGCACATGGCCCTGAGGTGTTAATTGGTGCTGTTAATGAGGGAATTAATGAATGAATCTCGGCCTGGCCAGGGAAGGGCAGCGTGGAGGTGAAGCCCTGTGAGAAAACCTCGGACAGGATCTGTGCCTGCCGGGCGGGATTCCAGCCGGACAGGGGCACTCCTGGAATTCCCCTGGGAAAGGGTGAGCGGGGATTGGGAATTCCTATGGGAATGGGTGAGCGGGGATCGGAAATTCCTGTGGGAAAGGGTTGGGATCTGGAATTCCCTTGGGAAGGGGTGAGCGGGGATCTGGGATTCCCCTGAGAAAGGGTGAGCGGGGATTGGGAATTCCCTTGGGAGGAGTTGGGATTTGGAATTCCCTTGGGAAGGATTGGGTCTGGCATTCCCTTGGGAAGGGTTGGGTCTGGAATTCCCTTGAGAAGCAGTGAGTCCAGGATGTGCCAGCTGGAATTCCCTTTGGAATTCTGGGATGTGCCAGCCTTCCCAAAATCCTGCCTCCCACGTGGCAGGAATTCCTGGCTGGAACTGTGGGATCCTCCCAGATAACATCCAGAGTCTTGGATAATCCAGAATTCCCAGTGGATAAATCTGGGAATTCTGCCACTTCCTTGGATAATTTCCATAACTGATAATTCCCAGAATTTCCAGAGGATAAATCTAGGAATTCTGCTGAGAATTCTGCCACTTTCCAGGATAATTTCCATCATTGATAATCCCTGATAATTCCCAGTGGATAAATCTGGGAATTCTGCTGGAAAATCCCTTTTTCCCCCCCAGAGTGTTCCCGATGTCCTGCAGGGACTTTCTCCAGAGGAAAGAACGAGAACTGCCAGCCTTGGACCAAGTAGGAATTCCTTTTTGGGGGAAAAAACTCATTTTTTGGGAAAAATCTCTTCTGGGTGAGGAAAAAAAACCAGGTTTTTGGGGAAAAAAAATACCTTTTGGGGGAGGAAAATAATTGTTTTTTGGGGGGAAAAAATCCCTTCTGGGTGAGGGAAAAAAATTGGTTTTTTAATGGGAAAAAAATTCTTTCTGGGGGAGGAAAAAATCGTGTTTTTTTAGGAAAAAAATCCTGTCTGGGGGAGGGAAAAAAGTTGGTTTTTTGGGGAAAAAAGTCCATTTTGGGGGAGGAAAAAAATCAGTTTTTGTAGGGATAAAATCCTACATTTATAGGGATAAAATCCTACATTTGTAGGAATAAAATCCTACATTTGCAGGGATAAAATCCTACATTTGTAGGGATAAAATCCTATAGGGATAAAGCACAGATTGGGATTGCAGGGATGGGATTTAGGAATACATTCCATGTTGGAAAAACCTCTGGAATTTCTTTTCCAGCTGCAGCACTTTGGGGAAGAGCACGCTCCAGGCTGGCACGGGCACAGAGGATGCCCAGTGCGGCACGGAAATCCCGGGAAACAGGGCTCCCTTTCCCACGGAAATCCCGGGAAACAGGGCTCCCTTTCCCACGGAAATCCCGGGAAACAGGGCTCCCTTTCCCACGGACTTCCCGGGAAAAAGGGCTTCCTCTGCCACAGAATTCCCAGAAAACAGGGATCCCTTTCCCACGGAATTCCCAGAAAACAGCTCCAGAGCTTCCAGCCCTAGGGAGATCCCTGCAGTCTGTCGGGATCCCAGCGTTCCCACGGAGCCTGGATGGGGTAAGGATGGGCAGGGAATCAGCTGGGATGGGAATTCCCATTTTGTCTGAATCCTTTTCTGCATTTCACACAACATTCCAGGATCCCACATTCCATGGAAAGCTGCTTTCCTGGGATGGGAAATCCCATTTTCTCTGAATCCTTTTCTGGATTTCACACAATATTCCAGGATCCCAGATTCCTGGGAATTCTCATTTTCTCAGAATTCCCATTTTCTCAGAAATCCTTTCTGTATTTCCCACATTCCAGGATCCCACATTTCCCCAGCATTCCCAGAGTTCTGGATTCTCCCTCTGGAATCTGGGAACTCCATGCAGCACCAGGAATCTTCGTTTTTTTAGGGAATTTTTCCCTTCCCATTCCAGGCTCTTTATCCCTGCTCCTGCTGTGCCTGCTCCTGCTGCTGGTGAGTGGAATTTCCATCCTGCTCCTGATCGTCCAGGCAGCACGGAAAAAATCCCGGAATGGGCCTGTCAGGAGCGGCCAGCACAGTGAGTTCCTTTTTCTGGGATCAAAATCTGGAAAAAACAATCCAGAGAGTCCCTTTTCTGGGATAAAAATCCTGGAAAACTTAATCCAGTGAGTTCCCTTTTTTATAGGATTAAAAAAAAAAAAAAAAAAAATCAGGAAAAAATTTAATCCAGTGACTTCCCCTTTTTCTGGGATAAAAATCCTGGAAAATTTGATCCAGTGAGTTCCTTTTTCTGGAATCAAAATCCTGGAAAAATTAATCCAGAGATTCCCTTTTTATGGGATAAAAAGCCTGCAAAAAAATTAATCCAATGGCAAAACTGAGTTCTAAAATCAGGATCAAGTGGGAAGACAGAGTTTAAAGCCAGGTTTAAGTGACCAAGCTGAGCCTGAAGCTGGGATTAAGTGGCAAAATGGTATTTAAAGCCAGGTTTTAGTGGCCATGCTGAGCCTGAAATTGGGATTAAGTGGCAAAATGGAGTTTAAAACCCGGTGTAAGTGACCAAGCTGAGCCTGAAGCCGGGATCGAGTGGCCCTGGCTGGGTGGGCTCTCCCTGCTCTGGCATTCCCGGGGTTCCCGCGGAGCCGCAGCCGGGCGCTGAGCCCGCGGGGAGGCCAAAGGCCGGGGGAGCCCGTTCCTTGATTGTTCCCTGATCCCGAACAATTCCCTGTTTTCCAGAGGGGAACAGCTGCCGGATCCCCATCCAGGAGGAGCAGATAGACTCCAACTCCAGCCTCATCAAAAACTGACTCGGCTTTGGGCTCTCCTGCATCCCCGCCTGAGACTAATTAGGGACTAAGTGGCAAAACTGAGCTCTAAAATCGGAATTAACTCAATCCACACTTCATGAAATGAATTTTCCCTCTCTAATTGCTTTTCCACAAATTTGGCAAAGGAATTTTTTGGGAGGAAATCCCAAACTCTAGAATGTCTGGGAGGAGCCCGAAGCCTCCTTTGGCTGAATTTGAAACATTCCCTTGAAAATTCCAGAAAAATGGAATTTTTGAATTATTCAGGAATTATCTTCCCACCAAATATTGACAGAAAACTCCACAAAAACAGGAATTTGGAGTCCACAGTAGCGAGCATATGCCAAAAAATCCAGCAGGGAATGGGTGCAGGGATCCAAGAGGTGTTTAAATCCACGGATTTGGAAGATTTGGGAATTTTGATATGTTATACATATCCAGAGGGGTTTATACGGTGTATAGGAACATTTGTATCGTGTACAAAGTGGGATTTGGGGAATAAAACTCCGGAAAAAAACAATCCTGGTTTGTGTGCGGGGGGGGGGGGAACAGGAAATTCCGGCAGGAAGCTGGGATGGCCTCGGGAGGGAGGAGGGAAAGGTTGGGATTAGTTTGGGAGAGGCTGGGATGGGTTTAGGAAAGGCTGGGATGGGTTTAGGAAAGGTTGGGATGGGTTTATTTGTATTTCTGAGGGAAAAAAAATCCCATTTTTCCTTGGATAACAATTGCATTTCTGAGGGAAAAATCCTTCCCTGGATAAAAATTGTATTTCTGAGTAAAAAAAATCCCATTTTTCCTTGGATAAGAATTCTATTCCTGAAGGGGAAAATTCCCATTTTTTCCATGGAAATCTCCCTCAGGAATTCTCCAGCCCTTCCCCCTCTCCCACCCCAACCTTTCCATCCGCCTCCGTCCGGTGAGTAACATCCTGTTTAGGCCGGGCCTAAAGGCTTTAAAGCCAGCCTAAAGGACATTTCTTTCCCCCTCAGAAATCCTGGAGCATCCCTGGATTTCACCCGTGGGAACGGAAATTCCACGTGGGGGGTGAAAATCATTTCAAAGCCGGGCCTAGCCAGGTTTAAGCCGGGCCTAACCACTCTGAAATCCTCCTGTGAGTGAGTTTTTTGTGCCAGGGGTTCCTTTTCTCCCCTAATCAGCAAAAAATCAGCCAAAATTCAGCGTCAGGAAACCGAAACCGCGTCTGCAACGTCCCAGCGCCGCTGACGTGAGGCCCCGGAGCGGGTTCCCTTTTTTGGGGTGATTTCCTTTTTATTTAGGGTGATTTCATTTTTTTAGGATGTTTTCCTTTTTTTGGGGTTGTTTTCATTTTTTTGGGGGGGTGATTTTTTGGGATGGCTTTCCCTTTTTTTTTTTTTTTTTGGGTGCTTTCCTTTTTCTGGCGGTATTTTCCTTTTTTTGGGGTGTTTTCTTTTTTTTGGGGTGGTTTGTTTTTTTTTGGGGGGGGTGGTGTGTTCTGTTTTTGAATTTGGGTGAGGATTTTACTCCAGATTTCTGGGAATGTCAGAATTTTTGGGATTTCCCCCAAATTTGGAGCCCAAAGAGAGAAATCTTCCCATGGAGTGAATTTTTGGGAAGGATGCAGAGATTTTGATGGATTTAGGGTGAGGGTTTCACTCCAGATTTTGGGGAATGTCAGATTTTTTTTGGGATTCCCCCAAATTTGGAGCTTAAAGAGCAGCACCTCTCCGCGTGAAGGATTTTTCTGGGGCGGGAAGCGAGCGAGGCAAGCACAGAGGGGAAATGTCAGCGGAGCTGCCGAGAAAAGCCCGCGGCCGCCGCGGCGAGGTGATCGAGCCAATGATAAAACCCGATCGATCCGATAAAACTGGGCCCAAAACGCCAAAGGTCAGCGCTGACTCCGGCTCCGGGAGCGCTGAGTGGAAAATTCCGTCACCTGACGGGGCCTCAAAGGGCAAGAGCAGCAAAAAATCCCCAAAGGGCGGAAAAAAAGAGAAATAAAGACAGAAAATGGGGGGCGGGCATGAGGGAAGGTTAGGATGGGTTTAGGAGAGGCTGGGATGGCTTTAGGAAAGGTTGGAATGGGTTTAGGGAAGGTTGGGATGGCTTTAGGGAGGGTTAGGATGGGTTTAGGGAAGGTTGGGATGGGTTTGGGAGAGGCTGGGATGGGTTTAGGAAAGGTTGGGATGGGTTTAGGGATGGGGATGGATTTTAGGGAAAGGCTGGGATGGGTTTTGGAAAGGTTCTTGCCAGAGGGAAGTTGGGATGAATTTTAGGGAGGGATGGATGGATCCATGGATGGAATTCCCAGGGGGTTTCAGGCTGGGATGGAATTCCCAGGGAATTTGTGGCTGGGATGGAATTCCCAGGAGGTGTCCGGGCCCAGCAGGAATCTCTGCCTGGAGCCGATTTTCCACCTCCCTCCCAGCACCCCTCCAAATTTCCCCCCTCGAACTCCCCCCACCCCAAACCCATTTTTGGGGTCTCCCCCACCCCAAATCCCCTTTTTGGGGTCCCCTCCCCACACCCCAAACCCATTTTTGGGGTCACTCCCCACCCCAAACCCATTTTTGGCATTTCCTCCCAACCCCAAACCCATTTTTGGGGTCCCCCCTGCCCTGCCCCCCGCTGCCCTTTGAGCCCAGCTCCTCCCACCCCCCCAGCTCAGCACAGGAAGAGCGCGGCCACAAAAACCCCGTTGGCTCCTCTGGGGCCTCAGTGAGGACGGGGATGGGACGGGGACAGGGTGGCACTGCCAGGACAGGGTGACATTGCCAGAGGGGTGGCATTGCCGGGACAGGGTGACATTGCCAGAGGGGTGGCATTGCCAGAGGGGTGGCACTGCCGGGACGGGGTGACATTGCCAGAGGGGTGGCATTGCCGGGACAGGGTGGCACTGCCGGGACAGGGTGGCACTGCCGGGACAAGGTGACATTGCTAGGACAGGGTGGCAGTGCCAGAGCGGTGGCATTGCCAGGACAGAGTTGTCACAGCCAGCTGAGGTGGCAGTGCCAGTGGGGTGCCACCGCCAGCTGAAGTGCCACTGCCAGCTGAGGTGCCACCACCAGCTGAGGTGGCCCTGCCTGGCCATGTCCCGGCCGTGGCTGCTGGCGCTGCTGGCGCTGCTGGCTGGGCACTGGGCACCGCCGGGCGCCGCCGGGAGCTGCCAGGACAGGGAGCTCCGGCCCGTGTGGGGAGGCGGCACCAAGTGCTGCCCCAGATGCACCTGGAAGGGACGTGAGTGAACGGGGCAGTGGGGGTAAAGGGTGGGTAAAGTGTGGGTAAAGTGTGTGGTGTGGGTAAATTGTGTGTAAAGTGTGGGGTACATTGTGTGTAAAGTGTGGGTAATTGTATGTGATGCGTGAAAATTGTGGGTAATTTGTGTGTAAAGTGTGGGTAATTGTATGTAATTGTGTCTGATGTGTGTGAATTGTGTGTAACTTCTGTGTAATTGTACGTGATGTGTAGAAATTGAGAGTCAAGTGTAGGGAAATGGGGTGAATTTTGTGTAGTTGTATGTGCTGTGTGCAAATTGTGGGTAACTTGTTTGCAACTTGTGTGGAAATGAGGGTGAATTGTGAGTAATGGTATGTGATGTGTGTAAATTGTGGGTAAATGGGGGGATTGGGTGTAACTTCTGTGTAAATGGGGGTGAATGGTGTTTAAATGTGGGAATTGTGTGGAAATTGTGTGTAAATGGAAATAATTGTGTGTAAATGGAAAAAATTGTGTGTAAATGGGGGGGAATTGTCTGTAAATGTGGGTAATCCTGTGTAACTTGTGTGTAAATGGGGGTGAATTTTGTGCAAACTGTGTGTAAATGTGTATAAATTGAGTGTAAATGCATGTAAATTATGTGTAAATTGTGTGTAAATTGTGTCTCTCTTTCCCGGGGATGGGAGGGAGAATTTTGGGATCCCTTTCCTAGGAAAGCTCTTGTTCCCTGGGATGGGAGGGAGATGTTTGGGATCCCTTTCCCAGGAAAGCTCTTGTTCCTGGGGATGGGAGGGAGAATTTTGGGATCCCGCTACTCCAGAACCTTCCCTGTGTCTGGAAGCACCACCTCCTGCTCTGCCTTTCCCTGGGAACGGGAATTCCTAGGGAACGGGAATCCCTGTGGAAGGGGAACAGGAATCCCTTTGGAAGGGGAATTCCTTTGGAAGGGGAATCCTTTTGGAAGGGGAATCTGGAACGGGAATCCCTTTGGAAGGGGGAACGGGAATCCCTTTGGAACTGGAATCTCTTTGGAATGGGAATCCCTTTGGAAGGGGAGCCCCTCTGAAATGGGAACCCCTCTGGAACAGGAACCCCTCTGGAATTCCCACAGGAAACCCGGCGCCCTGCGTGGCGGCGCAGGACCACGACTGCAAATGTCCCCCGGGGCACAGCTGCGCCGACGAGCCCTGCCAGTTCTGCCGGGCACTGCCGCACTGCCCGCCTGGCCGCGAGCCTGCCCGCATCGGTAACCGGGATCTGGGATCGGGATTTGGGATCGGGAATGGGGCAGGGAATGGGATTGGGGCAGGGAAGAGGAGCCGCCCTGGCCGTGCTGCCAGCAGCTGTCCCCGAATTCAGGCTCTCAGCCATTCCCATCCCTTTTCCCTGCAGGATCCGTGAATTTCCAGTTTGAGTGCAAACCCTGCGAGAACGGCACCTACTCCAGCAGCAGGGGCAGCTGGTGCCGCAACTGGACTGAGTACGGAGCAGCCAATAACTGATCATCAATACCCAATAATCAGTCATCAGTAATCACTAACCAATCATCATAATCAATACCCAATAATCAGTCATCAGTAATCAATAACCAATTATCAGTAATTGCTTCCCTGCTTTGAAAACAGACATAACAATAATACCAATACCAATACCAATAATGGCCTGCGTATGGGTTTATTGATATTCCCCTAATTTGGAAAAAAAAAAAAAATTAATATTGAAATATCAGTCAAGATATTCAATACTGCCATTAAAAATTCAATTTGAATCCAAGAGGATCGCCATGAGATTAATTGATGAATTTTTAATTGAGCAAAACCTGGCATTTCTCAGTCTCGAGGTAGAGTTTAAGCCCATCTTAAACTCGCCTAAAGTGCTGGAAAAATTATTCCAAGCAGGGAAATCCATGGAAAACCAAAAGGACTCAAAGCCCGCAAAGCTCCCCTGAGAGGGACAAAACGTCGGGAGGAGGAGAGGGTGGAAGGCAGGTGGGAATTCCGGGAATTGCGGGAATTCCAAGAATTCCGAACACTGTCCCTTGCAGCTGTGAGAGCAGCGGCCTCGTCACACTGCGGGTGGGGAACAGCAGCCACGACTCCGAGTGCAGCGTCCCGGGCACGGCCCCGCAGCCAGGTACCCCAGTCCCCAAAATTCCCTTCTCCTGCTCTTCCTCACCTTCCTCACCTTCCCAGCCTTCCTCACCCTCCCTGCCTTCCCAGAAAATCTGCCTGGGAAGTGGGGGCTGCTCCCAAAAACATTGCTGCTTTCTCCTTTTCCTTTTCCTTCTCCTTCTCCTTCTTCTGTTTCCTCTTCCTTTTCATCTTCCCTTTCCCTTCCTTTCCCATTTCCTTTTCCCTCTTCCCTCTTTTTTCGTTTTCCTCTTTCCCATCCATCTTCCCTTTCCTCTTCCTCATCCCATTTCCTCTTTCCTTTTCCTCTTCCCTCTCTTTTCCTTTGCCTCCTTCTCCCCCTCCTCTCTTTTCATGTCCTTCCCCACTCCCTTTCTTTTCCTTTCCCCTTTTCCCCTTTTCCCCTTTTCCCTTCTCCCATTTCTCCTTTTCCCCTTTCCCTCCTCCCTTTCCCTCTTCCGTTTTCCCTTTCCCCCTTTCCCTTCTTCCTTTCCTCTTCTCCTTTTCCCTCCTCCCTTTTACCTCCCCCTTTCCCTCCTCCCTTTTCCCTTTTCCTTTTCCCTTTTCCCACCCCCCTCCCCAATTCCCTCCCCTCCGAGCCTCTCCCACCTCCCGTGTTTCCTGCAGAACCCCAAAATCCCTCCCTGCCCTCCCCGGGAGTAGACCCCAGCCCCGGCATCGCTCGGTTTTTAATTAACTAAAACTAATTAAATGCCGTTAATTGCAGCCGGGCCGGGGCCGGAGCCGCGCTCCAGCCCGGTGCTGGCGGCGCTGGTGGCCGCGGCCGTGTTCGCGCTGCTGCTGCTGACGCTGCTGCTGCACTTCTGCATCTGGAACCTGCACGGGAGCGGGAAGCGCCCTCCCGCAGGTGGGAAAAACCCGGGGTTGGCGGGAGAAATACGGGAATGGCTGGGATAAAAAATCCGGGGTTGGGTGGGAGAAATCTGGGAATGGACGGGATAAAATCCGGGAATGGCTGGGGAAAAATCCGAGATTGGTTGGGAAAAATCTGGGAATGGGTGGGATAAAATCTGGGATTGGATGGGATAAAAAATCCTGGAATGGCTGGGAGAAAATCTGGGAGGGGATGGGATAAAATCTGGGAATGGATGGGATAAAATCTGAGTGGGATAAAGGACGGGATCAGTGGGATCAATCCGTATTTACTGCAGGATTTGGTGCAGGTTCCTGGGATCACATCCCGGCCCACATTCCTGGCCCAGGGCAGGGTGCGGTGGGATTTGGGATGGAATTCCTGGAATGGCTTTCCCAGAGAGGTTCTGAATCCCTGGAATTATCCTTGGAGCTCGCTGGAATGGCGGGAATTGGGATGGGACAGAACGGGATCATCCCAAAATCCCTGGGAATCCATCCTATCCCAAAATCCCACAGCCTGGTGGTGGGGAGGAGGTGGGAGTGTCCCACATCCTGGCCGGAATTCCTGGAATTCCCGGCTGAGTTTTCCTGAGTTTTCCTCATTCCCAGACGCCGATCCCGGCCCCACATTCCAGCGGCCCCAGGTGGAGGAATCCTACAGCATCCAATTCCCGGAGGAGGAGCACGGCGACAAATCCCAGGAAAAGCTTTCCATCCTCTCCCTGAAAATCTACAGCGAGCTCCGATAGCGGCTTCTACTCCGGGATCGCCGGGAATGCGGGGCTGGAATTCCCAAAAAAACACGTATGGGGAGAGGCGGCGTTCCTCCCGAGGGAGAGGAGTGGCTTCAGGGTGCCTTTGGATTTGGTTTTCCCTAAAAAAAGCTGGGATTTCGGGATAAATCCTGCTGGTGTTGGTGCAGGAGGGAGGGAGCAGGGATTTCCTGGGATATCCTGATTTCCAGGAGTGGGAGTCGTGAGCATAGCTCCTGAATTCCCACATTTCCTGAATTTCCCACAGCTCCTGATTCCCCACATTTGCTTTTCCCACAGCTCCTGAATTCCCAGATCTCCTGATTTCCCACATTCCTGCTTTCCCCACATTCCTGCTTTCCCCACATCTGCTTTTCCCACATTCCTTCTTTCCCCACATCTCCTTTTCCCAGATTTCCTGTTTTCCCCACATTTGCCTTTCCCACATTTGTTTTTCCCACATTTGCTTTTCCCACGTCTCCTTTTCCCACATTCCTGCTTTTCCACATCTCCTGCTTTTCCCTCATTTGTTTTTCCCATGTTCCTGCTTTTCCCACATTCCTGCTTTCCCCTGGATTTTCCAGCGGCCCTGCTTGGGTCATTCCCGACCCCATCCCAGCGTCTCCCGACCCCATTCCTGCTCCCACCCCAAGAGTCCCTTGGGAAGCTCCTGCTGTGCCAGCAGGGATTTTCCTTCCGAGGAAAATCGGGGGGAAAAGGGAGGAAAGATCATCCAGGAAATGCTCAGAGCTCTGGAAAAATGAAGGGAATGGGCAAAAATCCTGGAGAAGGTTCTGAGGCAGGATTTGGGCACTTCTGATCCCTCTGGGACCCTTCCTGCTTCAGATAGTCAAAGATTTTTGATGGAATTCCAGCAGGTTTGGGAAGTTTTTTGGGCTGACCCCCTGTGGAGATGGCAGTGCCAACATCTTATTGATAATTATGGATAATCCAGGATGAGCTGCTCCTGGTAATCTGTTGAAATTCCCGGAATTTCAGGGGAATTGCCCATGGATTTCAACCTCTACTGGATGATCCCTGGATTTTGGGCTGGGAGTTCTGGGAATGCTCCCCTGGACAACGACTGGGAAAGGAAAAAGAGGGAAAAAATAAAATCCCATTTTTTGAGGAATTGAAATTCCTCCCTCCAGGAGCAGAGATCCAGATCTGGGAATGGGAAAAACACCCAAAAAAAAGCCACGGAATTCCACCAAAGCTCGGCTTTATTACACCCAAAGATGGTCTTAATCTCACCAAAACTGGGCTTAATTTCCACCCAAATCTCAGTTTTATTTCCATCTAAAGATCAGCTTTACTTCCACCCAAAAGATGGGCCCCAATCCCAGGGATTTATGGGGGGGGGGGGGGATGGGCCCAATTCCAGGGATTTATGGCTTTGTTCTAATCCAATTCCCAGAATTCCTCCCCCATTTCCCCCTGGGCCTCCAGGAATAGTCACTCATTAACACCGAGCCTTAATTAATCACCAGGCTTTAATTAATCCCCACTCTGCTTCCTCCTTTTCCTGCTTTTCCTGGGAATTTCATCTTCCCAGGCTCGCTCCAGGCAGGATTTGGGGCAGCTCCTCCCGAGCTCTCCACATTGGGGGAATTTTTTTGGAATTATCATTTTAATTTGGAATATTTTTAAGGATGAGCCATTTTTAATTTTAATTACGGAGCAATTAATTCCATTTTCCCCTGATTATCCACTGATTTTAGCAGGGAAAGGGGTTGAAGTTTTTCAGGGATGAGGGAAAAGAATTCCAGACTGGTTTGGGTTGGGAGGGATTTGGAAAATACTTTAATTCCCAACATTTTTGGGTCGCTAGACCCAGTTTAATTTGGAATTTAGAGTGAGGGAAGGGAAAAGCTCATGGGGCTGGGATTTAATCCCAGATCAAATCCTTGGAATGCCATGGAAAGTTCTGGGCTCAGGAATGTGGGAACTGCCAGAAAGGAACTGAAATCTGGGATTGGGGGGAATTTTGGGATGGAAAATGGGAATCAGGAGGAATTTTGGCATGGAAAACGGGAATCCATAGGAATTTTGGCATAGAAAATGGGAATCAGGAGGAATTTTGGCATGGAAAATGGGAATCAGGAGGAATTTGGGGATGGAAAATGGGAATCAGGAGGAATTTTGGGATGGAAATTCCCAGGGAATATTTTGATTCCAATTCAAATTTTCCCTGGCTGGGCCCTCCTCATTGTCCCCAAATCCATCTGTACCCTGTGGAAAATCCCAGAAAATCCTGGAAAAACCCCTGGATTTGGGATGGGAAAAACCCTGGTTGGGATGGGAAAATTCTGGATTTGGGATGTTAGACCCAGCCTAATACCCAGCATCGCCTCCACCAATTCCCAGGGAATATTTTGATTTTAATTCTGATTTTCCCTGGCTGGATCCTCCCCGTTGTCCCCAGATCCATTCTTACCCTGTGAAAAATGCTGGCAAATCCCGGAAAATCACGGCCTGGCTGGAATTTTGGGCCGGAGCGGTTTGGATCACCCTTTAAACATCGTTACCAGACAGTGTTAGAGTAGAGGCAGCAAATCCAGCACTGTCTAGTAAGATGCCCACAGAGGACCAGCAAGTCCGGCAGCGGCGGGAATCAGCAATTCCGGGTTCTTCGGGAGGCCGGAATTCCAGGAAAAACCCAAATTCCTTTGGAATTTGCCACGGGTACACAAAGAAAACGGGCTTCGGGGAAGGAGGAATTGAAATCGTGGCGGGTTTGGGGGGAAAAGAGCATAAAAAGCTATTGAGTTGAGGTTTAAAGTGGAAATAAGGGGTAAGCCTGGCTTAAGGCAGGACAAGAAGAAGAATGTGAGGTTAAAACTGATTTAGGAGAGGTTGAAACAGAGAGGTTAAGCCTGGTTTAAGGCAGATTTAAAAAAGAAATATGAGGTCAAGCCTAATTTAGCAAGGGGTAAAGACAGATATAAACAAGAACCAGGAGGTTAAACCTTACTTAAGAAAAATCAGAAAGAGAAAGATGAGGTTAAACTTGATTTAATAGAGCTCTAAAAGAGAAGGATGAAACTAAGCCTGCATTAATATAGATCCAGAATAAAACCATGAAGTTAAGCCTGGTTTAAGGCATGAAGTTAAGCCTGATTTAAGACACGAAGTTAAGCCTGATTTAATACAGATCTAAAAGCGAAACAGGAAGTTAAGCCTGACTTAACGCAAACGACCAAGGCAATCCCACCATTCCTTTCCAATCAAATCTTCCCTGGGAATTCCCGGTGAGCAAAAGGCACAAAACCCCACTTTTGGGGCAGAATTCCTGCATTTCCTTCGCTCCCAAAGCCCCTTCCCCGCTGGATATTCCTGATTTTTGGGACAATTTCTGCATTTTTTGCTGCACCCCATCCACGTTTTTTTTCCTAAACTGGGCTTATCCTACGTGGGGATTTCCTCCATGAGAACTCAGATATCCAGCTAAACCCAGCCTGGAACTCAAAGCTCAGGGGTTGATCTGGGCAGGGCACAAAGCAGGGACACTTAAGATGGGCTTATCCCATGCCAGGACTTCCTCCATGAGAACTCAGATTTCCCAACGCTAAACCCAGCCTGGAACTCAAAGCTCGGGCGTTGATCTGGGCACGGCGCAAAGCGGGGCCGCTTAAACTGGGCTTAAGCCGCGCCGGGGACGTTGTGTTTGCCACGCAGAACTCAGATTCCCCAAAGCTAAACCCGGCCTGGAGCTCAAAGCTTCATCTGGGCAGGACTTTGTGACACAAAGCGGGGTCGCTTAAACTGGGTTTATCCCTCGCAGGGATTTCCTCTGTGAGAACTCAGATTTCCCAAGGCTAAACCCGGCCTGAAGTTCAGAGCTCGGGGGTCGATCCGAGCTCACCTTTGCGGCGCAAGGCGGGGCTGCTTAGGCCGGGCTTAGGCCCCGGCGGGGACGCTGCGGGCGCGGTGCTCAGGAAGAGCCTTCATCATCATTACCAGGCAGTATTAGAGCGGCATGGATCATCCAATGCTGCCCAGTAAGATGCTGAGGACATCTCAGCACGTCCCAAATTCGGAATTTTTTCAAGCAAAAAATAAAAAAATTTTGGGAAAAATCCACCCTGGAATGGTTTTCTGTTGGATTTTGGCGCTTTTTTTGTGGTTTTCAGTGAGAAATATGGAAAAAACAGCCCAAAATTCTGTGGTCTGCTACAAAAGGATTTTGGAAGGTTTAAACCTGGCTTTGTTAGGCGGGGCTTAATGATAAAGCCCAGCTCTGGTGTCTGTTGGTTATGGGTTGAGAGAATGAAAATAATGGGATAAAAAATAATAAAATAGATTAATATGATAAAAAATAGAAGAATGGAATTAAAAAATGATAGAGTAGAAATAATGCGATAAAAAATAATAATAAATTTAGTAGTGATAGGAATGAATAATTGGCAATTAAAATATTAATAATGAAAAGAAAAATTTATAATAATTATAGTAATTATGATATGGAATAATAATAATTAATAATAATAATTAAAATAATGAAAATAATAAAAATAATACTAATACTAATACTAATCTATTTCCAAAAATACATAGAATATTTAAATGTGATAAAAAAAAATAATAGAATAATATAATAAAAAATGATAGAGTAAAAATAATGTGATAAAAAATAAAATAAGAATAAATTTAGTAGTGACAGTAATGAATAATTGACAATGAAAATATTAATAATGAAAATAAGAATTATAATTATATGAATTATTATGATACTGAATAATAATAATGATTATGATGATAATAATAATAATTACCAAAAAATACCCCAAGATTTAATTGCAATTAGAACAAAATGCTTTAAAATACCCCAAAAAATCCAAATTTTGGGTGGGATTTAGATTGAAAAATCTCCTTTAAAATACCCCAAAACTCTGAGTTTTGGGTGGGATCTGGGGTAAAAAAATCTCATTAAAAATACCCCAAAATTCTTAGTTTTGAGTGGAATTGAGATTCCAGAATTTTTCATTTCATTCCCCCTGGAATCCTTGGGCTTTCCTTAATTAATTAGCAATTAATTAACAATTAATTAATTAATAATTAACCAAATCCTGCTGCTGATTTTGAGGATTTTTCCAGAATTCTGCACCATTTTGGTTGCTGGAATTTTGTTTCCATTAACCCAAAAGTGCCAGATTTTAATTAAATGTAAATAAAATTATTATTAATAATATTGAAATGATCAAATAATAAATATTTACAATACTATATAATATTTACTGTTGTTAAATTAAAATAAAAATAATATTATTGAAAATATTTAATTATATTATATTATTATGTGGAATAATAGTAATAATAGAAAAAATAGAAGAAAAAATGAGTATAGATTATAAATATAAATAGAATAATAAATAGAATAATGATATCAATATCAATATTAAATTATAAACATAAATTAAAATATATATTATTAAATATAATTATAAATATTAAATATAAATATAGGTACGAATACAAACATTAAATATTAATACAATATACATGAATAAATATAAATATAAATATAAATATAAATATAAATATAAATATAAATATAAATATAAATATAAATATAAATAAGGATTATATTTAAAATACTTAATATATTCAAATCATTAATAAAACCATCCAAAATAGGTGAAATTTTGAATTTTGAGAGGGATATAAACACAAAAAAATCAAGGGGTCATAAATATTAATATAATCTTTAAAATAATTACTATAATATTAAAAATAATTAATATAATATTAAAACAAATGGGATAATATTAAATTAATATAATAATCAAAAACAGCTGAAAATTTGAATTTTGAGAGGGATTTAAAGACCAGAAATTCCAAGGTGCTTTTTTCCAGAAGGTTTTTCCTCGTGGAAAAGTTTAATTCCAGTTTAAAACTGGGTTTAACACTGGGTTTCAACTGGGTTTAAAACTGGGTTTAAAATCCCACAAATCCATTCCCAAACCTGGCAGAATTCCCAAGAATCCTCCTGGAAAGCAAAACCCCTCTCCCAAATTTTCACCCACATTTCCAATGGAATTCCAACCCAAAAAATGGGATTTTAAAGTGGAATTCCAACCCAAAAAATGGGGATTTGGAAATGGAATTGTAACCCAAAAAATGGGATTTAGAGGAAGAACCCAGGGCCTGACCTCGTTCCCCAAAAATGCAATAAAATCACTTTATTTCACTTCTCCTTACTCCCTTTGGAGCCCAACTCTCCAAAATTCAGGGAAAAACAGGAAATTCCTCCAAAATTCTGGAGAAACCAGGAAATTCCTCCAAAATTCTGGAGAAACCAGGAAATTCCTCCAAAATTCTGGAGAAACCAGGAAATTCCTCCAAAATTCAGGAGAAACCATGAAATGTCTCTAAAATTTAGGAGAAACCAGGATATTTCTCAAAAATTCAGGAAAATTCTCTAAAATTCAGGGAAAACCTGGAATTTTCTCCAAAATTCTGGAGAAACCAGGAAATCCCTCAAAAATTCAGGAGAAACTAGGAAATTCCTCAAAAACTCTGGAGAAACCAGGAAATTTCTCCAAGATTCTGGAGAAACCAGGAAATTTTTCTAAAATTCAAGAAATTTCTCCAAGAATCAGGAGAAGCCAGGAAATTTCTCTAAAATCCAGGAGAAACCAGGAAATTCCTCCAAAATTCAGGGAAAACCAGGAAATTCCTCCAAAATTCAGGGAAAATCAGGAAATTCCTTGAAAATTCAGGACAATTCTCCAAAATTCAGAAAAAGCCGATCCCAGTTGGATCCAGCACCGGAATAAAACCGAAATTGGAATATTTGGATTTTCCAGGCACCAAGAAGAAGCCAAGAAAAGGCCGAGGTGCGGAAGAACCAAGAAACCCAACCCAAAATGGCTCCTGGCTCCTCCTGCCACCGGCTGCAGCCGGAATTTTCCGCGGCGCCCGCTCGGATCCGAGCAAAATTCCCAAATTTTCTTCTTCTGCTCAGGAAATTGCCAATCCCATCCCCTCTGAGTCAAGGAATTCAGGTGGGGAGGAGGAAGAACGAGCGATTCGGGATGGGGGTCGAGGAGGGTGAGGCGAGCTCGTTAAAGCGCTGGGTAATTAAAGAGCTCATTAAAACGTGGCAATCATTACTCAGAGGCAGTGGCGAGCTGGGATTGGAATCCTCCTTCTGAGTCCAAAACTGGGAAATCCTCCCTAAAATCCAAAAATATTGGAAGAACCCCCTTCAATTCTACTGGTTTCCTATGGATTTTATTGGGATTTCATCAGATTTTCCCAATATTCCTTTATTTCAGGGGAAGCAGCAAACTAGAATTGTGACTTTAACTCCCAAAATTGGGAAATCCTCCCTAAAATCCAAATATTCCAAAATCCAAAGATATTGGAAAAACCCTCTTCAATTCTGTGCTCGTTTTATATAAATTTTATTGGGATTTTAATGGGATTTTCGAAATATTCCTTTTTTTATTCAGAGCCAACAGCAAACCTGGATTTGGAATCCTCACTTAGTCGAAAACTGGGAAATCCTCCCTTAAATCCAAATATTCCAAAATCCAAAAATATTGAAAGAACCCCTTTCAATTCTATACTTGTTTTATATAGATTTTATTGGGATTTTAATGGGATTTTCCCAATATTCCTGTTTTCTCAGAACCAGCAGCAAACTCGAATTGTGCCTTTAACTCCCAAAACTGGGAGATCATGCCTTAAACCCAAAGATTCCTAAATCCAGGAATATTGGAAGAACCTCCTTCAATTCCACGGTGGTTTCCTATGGATTTTATTGGGATTTTAATGAGATTATCCCAATATTATTTTTTTTTTCAGAGTCAGCAGCAAACTCACATATTTAATCCTCAATCTAAGTTGAAAACAGGGAAATCCTCCCATAAACCCAAAGATTTCGAAACCCAGGAATATTGGAGGAACCCCCTTCAATTCCACACTGGTTTCCTATGGATTTTATTGGGATTTTAATGGGATTTTTCCAATATTCCTTTATTTCAGGGGCAGCAGCACACTCAAATCACAATTTTAACTCCCAAAATTGGGAAATCCTCCATTAAACACAAAGATTCCGAAATCCAGGAATATTGGAAGAACCTCCTTCAATTCCACACTGGTTTCCTAAGGATTTTATTGGGATATTAATGGGATTTTAATGGGATTTTCCCGATAGTCCTTTTTTTTTCAGAGCCAGCAGCAAACCCAGATTTTGAATCCTCACTCTTAGTCGAAAACTGGGAAATCCTCCCTTATACCCAAAGATTCCAAAATCCAGGAATATTGGAAGAACCTCCTTCAATTCCACGCTGGTTTCCTATGGATTTTATTGGGATATTAATGGGATTTTAATGGGATTTCCCTTTTATCCCCACCTCTCCCTGACACCTGGCTGCCAGCAGCTTTTCCCCCTCATCTCCCTCCTCCTCCTCCTCCTCCTCCTGGCTCTGGATCTGCTTGGAGCTGCCCTGACTGGTTGGACTGGTTGTAAAATGAACGTTTGGATTCATGCACTGCCCTCCCCTCCCCCAGCGCACACAAAACCTGATCTGTCCAACAAAACCCTCTCCAATCCACCCGGGGGGAGAAGGAGGAAGAGAAAAAAGGGCAGAATCCCAGCGAAAGTGAAGTGGAGAGAAGGAATATCCATGGAAAAAGTAGGGAAAGCCCTCCAAGAAGTCGTTCTCGCGCGCCATAAATCCCATTGTTTCTCCCTCCCCGCTCTACCTGGATACTTTGGATCTTACCAGGACCAGCACGAAATCCAGGGAAAACCTTCAGTGCTGGGAGCTTCTCCCAAATCCAGCTCAGCCTCCAGGTAGGGAAGGAATTTTGGGAGGATGAGAAGCCAGGAGAGTTTTCCTCTTCCGCGTGCCGGAAAAGGCGACCTTGGATTTCTCGAGGAAACAAGCGCTGGAGCGAAGGGTGACAAAACCTCAGCCAGACCTGGAAAAACAACACTACTACACCTCGTTAGGCTGCTGAAACGGAGCTTAAAAAGAAAAATAAACCCAGTTTTAAAAAAGGGGAATAAAGCAGGCCCAGGAAGGGCTGGGCCAAGCACGGCGCTCGCAGGAGCTGCGTGTTGGAG